GCATAGTTCACGATGCCCAGCTTTTAGTTGCCGCCCGTGACAATGAATTACCGACGCCGTACTAACTAACTGTGCGTAGTTGAACTTCACCCCCTCATATCCCGGCATGCTATGCGCATGGCGACAGTTGAATTAACAACGTAGTTCCAGCACCGCAGCATTGACCGGGGCCGCAGGAGCACGATCGACTCGGAGCACCTCTGTCCAACACTCCCTATTTGTTCACTGGACATCAGTCTGCCCGAGGGTTTCCCTATTTGTGCTGAGAGCAGATTTGGTCCCTTCTCGGCCCCTCAAGTGCTCGTACTCGAAGTGGTCATATCCGTCCCGCTTTAACGCCCTACGGCAAAGTACAACCCGTTCAAACGAACAGCAACACGGAGCAACCGAGCACGCAAATCGGTGCAAGCCACTCGACGTCGACCGGCTTCGCGCAGGGCTGCACAACGAAATTCGCAGCCGAGGCGCTTTCTTCAGCGAATCAACTTCGATTGCTCTATGGCGATGACTCAAAGTTCCGTGGCCTGTCGAAGTCGTACATACTGATTAAGCCAATTCAGCTACTCACGCGGGAGCAGCGGATCCAGCTGGAAACGCGCATGAGTTGCAATCCCGCGCAGATCGCGTTCTTCCGCCATGACACTACTAGCACGAGCGTCGCTGCTGCTGCTCGTCGCCACTGCATCCTTCGCGGCGGACACGCTCCCGATCAACGGTTGGTACCCGTGCAGCATCAACACCGAGGCGACGTCGGCGCCAAAGGCCTCCTCCGCGTCATCGTCGGTCCAGTCGCTCAAGGCCAGCATCGGCGACGACGGCCGCATGTGGAGCGCGCTTCTCCACCCAATGCGCACCACGTACATTGAGGCCCTCGCGACAACCAAGCGCGCAACGACAGTCGAGTGCGCGGAGTTTACGCTGCCGCTGTGCCACGACGGGCTCTGCACGGCGCCGGCCAACGCGAGCACGACGACCATTCCCGTCTTTGTCAAGCGCGCGCTCGCGACCACGCGGACGACGTCGACCAAAGCGCTTTGGTTTCTTCAGGGCGGTCCTGGCGCCTCGTCCGTCAACAGTACGCACTTTGTATTAAATGTACTGAGATCTGAGTTGCGATGTAGTGGAGTCGTTCATGGTGTTGCTCTACAACATTCTCGGCGGCGCCGTCGACGTGTACACAATGGACCACCGCGGCACGGGTCGCAGCCACCGGCTGACGTGTGAAGCCGCGCAGATCGAGACGTCGGGAAGCCCCACGAAGGGCCAAATCACCAACAGCGTCCTCGCGACGTGTGCCCAAGATGTCAACACCCAGCTCGGCGGTGGCGCCGGTAAATCATATTCCTCCTATGCACTACCGTTTGTAAGGTCATGCATGTAGCGTCCGTCCTGCGGTCCTTTTCGACGACGAGTGCGGCCATGGACTTGTCCAAGGTGATTACGAGCATCGGCAACGCCAACACGTTTGTGTACGGCGTGAGCTACGGCACGTACCTCGTCGAGCGTCTCATGCAGCTCGAGAACCCGAGTATCAAGGGCTACATCCTCGACGGCGTCGTGTCCAACTCGGGCAGCAAAACCAACACGAAAATGGTCTTCAACGACTGGGACAAGAACGTCGAGAGCGTCGGTACGTTGCATGGCATGCATCAATTGACCATCACCGCACGACTGTAGCACAAACCTTTGTCGCGCTCTGCACCGCCGACCCTTTCTGCAGTGCCAAGTTTCCCGGCTCGGGTGCGTCGACCTTTTTAATGTTCCGTGGCTAAGGTCGCGTGCGATTAGATTTGAAGACCACGATGACCGCGTTGTACGCCTCCTTGGACGCGGGGCCGACCAAGACACAGTGTGCGTCGCTGCTCTCGTCGGTGCAAGACGGCTTGTCCCCGTCGGACCTGCTCCGCATTGTCTTTTCGACGCTGCTCCAGGACCAGAGTTTGCGACCGCTCATTCCTGCCCTTGTTTACCGCATCAAGCGGTGCACGACCAATGACGCGCTCGCCGTGTACAATTTTCTTGTCCAATTCACGAGCTCGTACGACGACAACTTGTCCACATGTGTCTCCACCAATAAGAGCTCATCGCAACCTGGTGTATAGAAGCAGCGACGATTCGGATGTGCTCGATTCGACGATGCTGTACAACCTCGTCGTCGCGTCCGAGCTCTGGCGCACGCCGACCGAGAGTGCGTCGGCGCTCGCGACCACATTCGAATCGACGTTGATTGGTAGCGACGTCTCGGACCTTGCGAAAATGTACTGCATTGCGAGCGGCGGCAGTGACGCCAACTGCGCCGGCGTCACCGCGTCCAAGTACCGTCTCCAGTACCCAACCGACAAGTACTTTGACCAACCGATTACGATCCCAACCGGCGCGTCCGTGCTCCTCATGGGCGGTCGCCTTGACCCGCAGACGTACTACAAGTACGGCGAGTACCAATACGACAGCTTTATCGGCACGGCCAAGCGCCTCGTCGAATTCAACTACTCGGCGCACGGTACCGTCGCCAACACCCCAGTTACCACCAAGGTAGTCGCCCCAAATCGCTTGCATCTCATGCGTCAGTAGAACGGAGCGCCTTGCGGTGCGCAGATCCTCGGCTCGTTTGTGCTTGTCAATGGCGACCTCGATAACCTCGACACGTCGTGCATGGCGGTGGTCCAGCCCATGACGTTCCAGCTGACGGCTTCGAACGTCCAGTCGCTCATGGCGACGACCGATGCGTACGACGGCACGCCGACGCAAAAGTTTACGCAAGGCATTACAAAGACCACCAACCCGAGCGGCGGGTCGTCGTCCGGGTCTCTCGGTACCAAGACGACGCCTGACGCAACATCGTCCGGGTGGAAGACGGCGGCGATCATCGCGTTCGTGCTTGTCGGGCTCCTCCTGCTCGTCATCGGCTATCTCCTGTACCGAGCCCGCGTCATAGCGCAGAAACAGCCCACGTACGACCAACACGTTACGGAAGCCTAACCCTGTACAGTGTCAACTCTGTCGACGCCCTTGCTCGTCGTAGTATACACTGCGTTGTTGACATATCTAAAATACCACTCGACCGCGGAACGAACTATCGTGATGAGCTTGTTGCTTCTTCATTCCATTCATTAGCTCCAGACGACATCCGAAAGCCTTACGCTTCCGGCGAGTCCAGCGACGTAGGATCGCGGGCAAGGACATAAATGTACGGCCGATGCACGAGCTGGAGACGGCGGACGTCGATGCGATCAAAGGTCTCGACGACCGCGAGCGTTGAAAAGCCCTACGCGAGCACATTTTAGTTCGCAGCTACCACAGCGTAGTCGTCGGCGTACCTCGCGCGATGGCGTCTCGGTCACCAAGTAATCAAACGCGCCAAAGTCCGTAATGCCTTCCGTCTTGTGGTACCTAATGGAGCTCACGTCTACAACGACAGCGACGACGACAAGATCGACATACGTCCACGCGGAATACTGCTCGCCAAAGCGGGAGACGCCCGTCATGGCCGCCGCCACGTCAATGTGCACGTGCATCGGCTTGGTCGCGCGCATCTGTTGCAGCGCATGGAGCTTTGCAAACGCCACACCGCCTACGCCATTTATCTACGTCTCCAAGTCCCAACAGAGCTGCGAACCCGGGTAGTTGGCATGCGACGCCAGCGTAAAGACCACCGAGCAGAGCGCCGTGATGACAAGACACAGTGCGACACACAGTAGGGGCCACGTGGCCTACGCAGCATCACATCGACCATCGAGCCAATCTAAGTTTGCAGTACCTTGTGCCGGCCGCGCCAGAGTTTGGCGACACCCTAAGCTCCATGCATACGCCACCATAGACTACGTGCACTCGACGTACGACAGCCGAGGCCATATTGAGCATGGGCACCGCGTTCAGAATGAACCGAAGCTCCTTGTGGGGCAAGATCGAAAAGAGCAGCACGTACAAAAGCACCTGCACCGCTGCATGATGCGCCCGCCCGAGAAGATTATGATAGCATCTACCGGCAGCACGTAGTAGACGACGTCGCGGTCGAACCAGTTGGCCGACATGAGCTGCGTTCGAAGTTGGCCGAGTCGCATCGTCGACACATTTGGGAGGACTGACCCGAGGGACCTACGAAGACCGCATTGAGAAATCGTAGCAAGAGAGTGCAATACGTAAGGCCCAGCGGCAGCAAGAGCGCGGACGCCCCAAGGATACGTGGCAGCGCCGATGTCAAGTACCAATGAAACGGGTGCGTCCCCCACTCGTGGCTCTTGTTGAGGATCGTGTTGAAGTAGAGGACTTCGCCTTCGGGCCAGAGCCAGCGCTGCCAAAAGACAGAGTCCACGCCGATCGTGAGCGCGATGGCGCCGAGCGCCGACGTCACGCCGACCATGACCATCTCGAGAAACCCGACCTAGAGACATATCCTCGTCCTGCAGTGTCGTCAAGGACCCATGTACGTGGCGTGCGACGAGGAGCGTGACCAAGATCGGGGCAAAGAGCACGGCCGTGTCGCCGCGGAAGACAATGGTCGAGACGCTGAGCAGCATAATGACGCGGCGCGACTGGCCCTACGACTGCTTGCTCAAAGGCGCGGGCGGCGCAAGCGCACGTACCTGCAGCCACGCCGCATACGCCAGGAAAACCAAGATCTACGACATACAAGAGTCGCCAAATGCATCAAGATGGAGGACGCATACAAGGGCAAAGATGTTGGGCAGCGTCCGGCTCATGTAAAACACCAAGTGAAACTGGACGGCCGTGAGCAGGCTGTAGGCAACCGCGGTGTCGCGGCCAAAGACGCTGCCGATCGTGCGCTTGAGCGTGCGCCACGCGGTAAACGAGAGCAGCCACAGCGAGGCGCGGGCGGCGATTTGCATGTGCGCCTTGGAGAGCATGAGCGAGGCTGGCGCGGCGACCGCGGCGACAGGCAGCGCACCGAGAAAGGTCCGTGGCACGACGCCGGGAAACTCAAAGTGGTCGTAGCGCGTGAGGTTGCGTTCGTAGAGGAGGTCGTGGATCGCCTGGAGGTTAAAGCTCTCTTCGACCTTGGCGAACGGGCTCAGCCACAGCTGGACGGCGCCGACTGCCAGCACAAGCGCTTCGTCGGCCATGACGTGTCAAAAAGTGGTCCACACGTGTAAAACACATACATCACGCATGTGTTAAATGAAGTGAAAATGTGAGAATGTGGCAAATGTGGCAAATGTGAAAAATATGAAAAATGTGAAAAACACGGCGGCGACCAGGTTTCTCGTTCGAAATGCGTGGCAAGTCCTGGCGTGCCCGACGGCTCAAATACCTCAGGGCAAAAACCGAATGCGGGTTTTCTCAAACGACCCTCCAGTCTGGCGAGAAGGAATACTACGAACGAAGTGGCAAAGCCTAGTATTATGTATCCGAGAGCCCCAGGGCGACGAACAGCAACGTGCAGCTTTGCCCCATACGGTGACGATCGAACGACCTCACGCAAACCTCAATCACCTTGCACGTCGGCGAGGCGTCGAAACCTTGAAGGACGAGAAGTAAGCTACTCGCGGAATACCCGCCATTCCATTCGACAGAGACGCTGTGAAAGGGCGTCCAAGATAACAGACGCACGCCATCGTCTCGTGCGCCAAGCAGAAAACGGTCGCGTCGTCGTCGTGAGGTCGCAGCTAGCAGTTACTACGGCGGAGAGTTGGCACAGGGACAAAGCAGAGAAGGTGGTGGAGCGTATCTTTGGCCTCGCACGCGATTGGCTTAAATTAAAACGGCCGACTTTGCCTCAATGGCGCCTCGGACGATTTTGCACTCGACTGACAATGTGAATCGTCGCAGGAGCATCTTAAATAACAGCACACAGAAAGCTACTAGGCTAATGCCGCGTGTACATCTCGATGATCGTCGGCAGCGGCTTGATTTGGCTGCGCGCAACCTTGGACATGCAGCGCGTAAACGGCACGCGCTTGCCCGCGACTGTGAGCACTGTTCGGTTCAAGAAGGCCCGCGGAAGGCGAATTGGCGATTTGGGTCGCTGCAAGAATCGATCCAAGAGCGAGTGAAAGCTCGGCGACGACCCTTTGCGCGTCAGCACTTGACACGGCGGCAGCGTGCTTTTTGTCGGGCGCGGTGGACTGGCCGGCCGCGGCGGCGGCGTCGGCTTCTTGACGACGTACGCCTCGTCGCTGGTCACAGCGGGCGACGTGGCCACCGACGCCCGGAGGTATTGACCAAGTTGGATCCAAACCTTGACAAGATCTGTCCAGGAACTGCGGCTGCTGCTGCTCATACTAAATGTGCAAGACGGTGCGCGGTTGAAGTCCTATTGGCGACTGGGTTCAAGGTGGTGGCGTTCATGAACTTCCACGTTTCTGTCGCCGGTGCAAAAGGCGGCTGCCGTACATTACCGTACACTCCACATCTCACATACGAATTCCAAGACGAACCGTCCGTCAAGTACAGCAGCCGGATCTGTTTTTTGATTGGCATCGCCGGGCGTCGTCCAACGCCCTCGCCTGCACAGCCGTGGACGAGCCAGCAATTTTTGTTGAGGTTGAAGTATCCTTGCTGCCATTGGAACAGCCCATTCCATATCTCGGCGGCGTTCGAACGCGAGCGCCTCTTGCTATAGCGATCCTGACGCGAGCAACCGCTGCACTGGCCGTTGGCAACCTGTGGCAAGGGTCATTGACCCATGCCTGTGGGCATCGGCTGCGGCCAAGCGGCTATCACTGGCTTGGGCGCAAAAATGCACGGCGACACCGCGCCAAGTGACACGTTGGTGATGGCTTCGGTGCCGCGTCTTTGTTGCAAGCGGAAAGCAGCGGCGAGCGAGAAGGTACATCGCCCTTGAGAATCCGGGCATGTCTCGTGGCTTCCTCAGCGAAGCCAACAGGCCTCGAAACAGATTGGCGAGCCCGATGAAGCCGACGTCCGCGTCGCCAAACTCGCTTATCACCTCCTTGCCATGTAGTGGGGACGATCTTTATTGCATGCGTATGGTCGTAGTCGCTTGTCAACCCAGGCGACAGGATCTCGTCAAGAGAAAAACTCTCGCATCGTCCTACCTACAAGTGCAAAGCGCATGGTGTCCATCCATTAGCTGCACCCAAGATACCGGTACACACGTCTGTATGTGGGCAGAAGGCGACCCTGTTTTTGCTCTGCGTCCGACGACGCAGTGCGTTGGGTACACTGCAAGGAGGAGCCTCGCGCGGCTGCAGTAGCTTCCCCCGCCTTTTGTAATCCTCCCGCGATATACGAGGCTGCATTGAAGCACTGTACCGGTACCAAAGACGCTCAGCTGCGACTTGTGAGCAGGTGAGTGGTATGACGGCGTCGAGCCAGCAAGTCGATAAAGTGCACTCTGGGGAAGGTTCCTTGCGGATGCTGTCTTTGGCCCTTGCGCACCTTGCCGGCTCAGGTGATACTCAGTCGTATCACTTAAATTCACTGGCGCGACCAGGTCGTCAGCCCAGGCACCCGTTGACTACAGGTGCTGATACTGGGCCCTACTAAATACACTTGCAGCCGTCTGCGCTCTGGTTTGTCTGGAACAAGTCTGTAGTGAGCGCACGAGATTGGGGATTGGGCATGAAAAGGTGAGCATATCGCTGGAGTGGGTAGTTAGAGCTGGCTTAGCGGCAAGCAGTGATGGAGGTGGGCGTCATGGTCGGCACATGCCCGCGTCCGCACCACGAGGAGCCGCCACGTTTTCACATCTAAAATGTACCACACGTCGCCTTGCGAGAAAGCGAGAAGCCCCGCGAGGGCCGCGGACGCCTTGTCCAAGTAGCACGCGCCGTTCACTTCGCGAAAAAGGAGGCAGTAGACGCTCTGCGCGTTGAGCAGCAGCGACGGAATGTGTCGGCGACGGAGCTGGGGCTGCAACATGCGTTCGATCCCATACGTGGCAATGATGCAGCCTAGCGCAATGCCAATTGTCGTGTAGACGCGGCGAACGCTGCCAATCTGAACGCGGCCACTCACGCACACGAGGCCGTCGTCCATGTTGAGGAGCTCGCAGACGCGCGAGACGTTGGCGGTCGCACTTGGCGGCGCATCGAGGAGCGTCCAGAGAAAAGTGCAGCTCCACGTGAGGAGCGAGCTCTTGTATGCATAGGACGGCGTGTACTGCTGCGTGACGCAGCTCAGAATGTCGTTGAGGACGTAGACGAGCCACGTGGCTTCGGAGGACGCGAGGACGATCTTGGTCCAGTGCAACGGCGGCGACGCGAGGAGCGTGCCGAGGCCGGTTTTCGAAAGCTGGAGCGTACTCGTATGCAAAAGACAGAGCGCGGTGATGCTGCGCACAAAGAGAAAGCTGCGACCGACCCAGACAATGCCCACCGTTCGGTTAAACTCGAGGAGGTTGAGGCTTTCCATGTGTCCGCGCAAGTGCAGTGTGTAGCCCAAGACGACGATCGCCATGCAAATGAGCACGATCGTGATGTAGAGCACAACTTGCTGGCAGTAAAACGCATACGTTTGCGGAATAAAACCCGCGTCCGGTGGCATTGTCACGGGCACGACGCCGAGGCTGATGGTGGTGACGGTGCCGGCATCCCCCGTAAAGGCAACGACCTCGCGCATGCCACACGTCCACTCGTACAACAGCAACCACCCATAAAAGCTCCAGATACGGTCCGACGAGCTTAAGAGCGATAGCTGCAGCAGCGACGACGAGCCATCGCTCTGGCGTCCGTACTGCAGCACGGTCACGTTGTGTGCTGCCATAGCGTCGTAGGCGGCGGTCGCCTCCGCTGCAAATGCCAGTGCAGGGTACGTCTCGAGGAACGCTCCACCCGCCATGTAGTCGTCCACGCAGCGACTGTCAACAATGGCATCGCTACTGCAAATATCGACATAGTCGGTCGCGTCCATCGACGGCGTCGACGTGGCATTGAACGCAGACAAAGCAAAGAGCACCTGCGACGGCGTCGGTTGCATCACTTCGAGGTACACCGAGTTGCAGTAGCTCGTGGCGCCAAACCCGATGGCCATGCCAAAGAAGAACGGGCTCGCGACAGCGTTGTCACCGCAAAAGATGTTGCCGCCCATCGAAATCGGGGTTGGTAGCGCCTGCCACACCAGGGGTACGGCCAAGACAAAATACTTGGTGGGCAAATGGACGTAGCGCGCCTGTGCTTCGAGGTCGGTCGCTGACAGCATCGCCAGCGCATCATGAAACAATGCGTAGAAGCGCCCGAGCGGAAATGGCACTGGCACAAATAACATGTCGACGGCGTTGAACGGCCCGACGTGCGACGAGAGCGCATGAAAACCGCTCGAGAGCGGGTACGACAAGGTACGGTTGTCGACAAGGAGCTGCTCGCTCGATACATTTGCAAAGGCAAACACACTGCTCGATCGCAGCAAGCTGCACCCGGCGATCCGCGACGCATTGGAAGCGGTCACGGCCCAGAGATCACTGGCGAACGCCCAGTACATGACGTGCGACGTTTGTCGCGTCGGGTGAAAGCGACCGACAACATTGGCCAGCGGTAGCGCATACGCGAGCCCGAGCGCGTTCTCTACGAGCATAGCATCGTGGAACCCGGTGGTTTTGAAATTTTGCCACTGAAGTTCGTAGCGAATCAGGTTGGCCTGCCGCCAGTAGATGACTTCGTCGTCGACCGAAAGCAAAATGCCAGCGTGCAAGGACGCTAAAAAGGCTTGGCCGGCAGTCGACTGCTGGAGCTCGTCGACAAACCCAGTAGCAAACGAGTCGCCATAGCAAGCGTGCCACTGCCCCCAGTCGTTGATGTTGCGCAAGGCCGTCTCGAGGTACACGGCAGCATTCGAGGCCATGTGGCGTTTGCATCGGTCTTGCCGCGCTTGCGTGTGGGCCATGCCCCAGCGCTGGTGGACGTCAAGCCAGCAATACTGCGTAAAGACCCACGGGAGCCGACATGGATCCATGGTGCGCAGGCCGCGCACGGCGGTCGCGAGTGTGAGCACATTTTCGTCCTGGAGGCCACGGGACGCGGCCGTCACGGGCCACGCGATGGTGGCGACCGACTCGTCGTACGACGGACTGTAATCGATGAGGGCGGTTGCATCGAGGCGTAGCTGTGTGGACGTGTTCGTCAAGAGACGCTGGTTGAGAGCGTTGGCGACGAACGCGTAGCTCCCAGTCGCGTTGAAGCCCGCCCAGAAAAAGTCGTTGGCAAGGGTGTCCCGCACGAGGTTAAAGTACGCGACGTTGCTGCCGAGGGTCGCCACAATGTAGAGGCAGCCAAAGAGCAGTGAGAGAGGCGCGAGCTTGGATTTGAACCAGCTATTCGGAGGCGGCGTCGGCTTGATCGGCGTCACACCGACAACGATCGGCGTTGGTCCCATTGTCGGTGGCAAAAGCACGAGGCAGTGGTGCTGCCATTCGAACGTATCCGGGGATAGCCACAGCCAGAGCTTGGTGTCAAAGACGTGCGTCTTGGAGACAAAGAGCAGGCCGCAGAGCACCGCCGAGATGGCATCGATCGCGATCGCGCCGCGCGGCCAGTGCGCGACAGCGAGCGGCGGCAGCACCATGTAGGCGCTCTCTTCAATGCACAGCATCGGACGCCGCTGCCGCCACCGGGCGACGGCGACGCTCAGCGTCGAGAGCAAAAGTAGAGCCACGAGCCACGTGAGCAGCACGAGAAGCCGCGATACGCTGCCAATTTGCACGTGTCCGCTCGTACAATAGAGCATGACGTCCATACCGATACCAAGGCAGCTGCGCGAGAGCGTTGCAGTGATCGTCGGCGGTGCCAAAACGTCCAAAAGCCAAATGCTGGAAAAGCCCAGTGCGCTTACAACCGGAAAAAGAACTGAGCTTGACGGTGTGAGCGGGTGCAAGAGCTCTTGCCCACCGTAGAGCACCCAGAGTGTCTCGGCGGCCAATAGCGCCGAGACCCACACCGGGCGCGGTGCCGCCTGCAACTGCATTGTCGCGCCATTTACCACCGGCTCGACGACGGCGGTTGCCAGACAGAGCGCCGCGGTGAGCGCACGCGAGCTCATGAGACCCCGGTTTAAATATACCGATGCGGTCAAGCGGTGGAACTGAAGCCACGGCGGCGCATGCCATCGGCGCCGTCCCACCGACAGTAGGATGATCGCAACCGCGACGAGGCAGAGCACACTGGTGATGACCGCCGTCATGGCCAAGAGGTAGCTACCCAAACTCACGCTCGGCGGCGCAAACGCCGTCGGTGTCCCCGTGTACGCCGCCGACATGAGCTGCAGCGTGCGCATGTCGCCTTCAAAGGACACGACCTCGCGGACATTTTGCGCCCAGTCGTACGCGCAGGCGACGCCGTGCGGGCGCCACGCCGGCGTAAACAGGCGCTGCATGTCGAGCGAAATGTCCGATTCATTGGACACTGAGGCGACAAACTGCATAAGCCCGACGTCCGAGCCGACAACCGAGGCGGGTAGCGCAACCGATACGGTTCCGAGGAGCTTCGCCGCGGCGGCAACAGACGCGAGGTACGATGAGCATGCGCTGCTTGAGCAAAGAAACGACGTGTCGACACCGCTCACAAGGACAAGGAGGCTGCTTTCACGAGTCCACGTAAAGCGAAGCGGCAGCTGCTTGCTGCACACATCGTCGAAGGAAAACGATTCTTGCGGAAACGACTGCGGACGACCGTAGGCACACATGGGGTTGCCGCCAAAGTAGACTATCGGCGCGTCGGTCCACGACGGTGGCGGTAGCTCCATCGATGCTGGCACGGCGTTGTAGGCGCGTGCGAACGCAGCATTCGACTGCAGCGCCGAGAGCACGATCGCGTCAAAGCTCTGCACGGCTGCAATCCAGTCGGGCGGTGGCGGCACCCAGCGCAGGCGTAGGTTGTTGAGCATACCGATTTGCGCGTGCACCACGTCGTTGATGAGCCCTCGGAACGGCCCGAGCAGGTACACTTCGACCTGCGTCGGGTCAATGTCGCCGTAAAAGAGAGGTGTGTGGCGCACGAGACTTTGGTTGACCCCCGGGCCTTGCAACTCAAACTCAAAGTTGCCCGTGAGGAGCGCGGTCGTCCACGACGGCGTCCCACGCTGCACGGATGCGATCGATTTGATCGTAAACGACGAGACAACGCCGAGCGCGTTCTCGATCACAATGGTTTCGAGGACGCCGACCTCGTAGTGGTTGGAGTAGAGCAGCTGAAAATACGCAATGCCGTGGGCTTCCCAGAGAAGGACTTCACTTTGCACATCGACAAGTGTGTGGGTAAGCAGTCGATTGGACCACGCGGCACCAGCATCGGTCGCATTCAACGGCGTGAGCACGCGCATGTTGAAGCGCAGGCCGTTCTGGGCGTACCACGCGCCAAAGTCCATGTTGCGCAGGACGGCTTCGAGGTACGCGGCGCCATTGGCCATGTCGTTGGCCTCGCACCGGGCCTGCGTCGCGGTTGTGACGCCCATTTCCCAACGCCGCTCCAAGTCCACCCAGCAGTATTTCGCTGGTAGAAACGTAAAGAGACCGCTGTCAAGGTGGCGCAGGCTCGCAATTGCGGTTGGAAGCGCTGTCATGTGCTCGTAGAGCAACCGCCGACCGTACGCTGGCTGCATCTCGTACGGCTCGACCCACGGCAGCGCCTGCACGTCAAGGACAGTTGCAGACGACGTTGCGTTCATGGACGCGAGCGCGCGGTTGTAGACATAGCGAAGCGCCGCCGACGTGTTGAGTGTCGCAAAGCCACTCCAAAAAAGATCGTTTTCAAGGTATGGGGCAAAAAGATAGAGGCTGTAGAGACTGAGGCCGACCGACACCACGACGTACAAAAGCCCCAGCACGTGGCGCAGTGGTCGGTCGCCTGGTGCGTAGACAACGACGGACGGACCGGCTACCGAGATCCGCATCGGCGCAACTGCAAAGCAACTGAGTGATGTTTCGTAACGGATCGGCCTCAAGAGACCATTTCCGACCCGCAGTGGTTTTATGTCGACGCTATGTAGAGCTGCATTGAGCCGAATAGCAATCTAAAGAGCTTTCCAAAGACGTAGTGCGAATGGCCCCCCGTAAAGGCGTGCTGTAGAAGAACTTACGGAAGCGTTCGAATGAAGAAGCGCTTGCGCGAGGCGCAGCTAGAACGGGGGTGCAGCTAACTCGACCTCACATCCGCAACGACCCAACCTCGGACTCCTTGCTGCCAATATTACATATTGGATAGTCCTCCAGGCCATGTCGTTGCTTGTGTGTCATCCTGAAGACTCGCCGTGCGAATTTCGCGCCATTTTGGCTATGTTCCGGATAATTATACGCGTATCCGGATTCTTACTTGCTGTTGCCAGAAAACGATGTGGGGGCAGCTGGTGGGCGCGAGCGGGACGCTGGACCTCGTCCTGCCGCGGAGCCGACTCGGGCGCTTGGCCAAGAAGGCCGACGTCGTCATTAGCAAGCCCTTTATCAGCGGTCTGGTACGCAGACGATGCTCGTAGCGCGCTTCTCCTCATGGGTCCTATGTTAGCACTGCACGTTCGAGCGCCTCGACGCCGGCGGCGAGACGTCCGTGTGGCTCGTGGACCATAGCACCAACGGCGTCTTCGTCAATGGCAGCGTCGTGGGCCATTCGAACCGGGTCGCGATCAACGATCAAGACGAGATCTCCTTCACCAAGCCGGGCATCAAGAGCCCCGGCATCGAACCGCTCTTCTTTCGCTTCTGCCTCACGTATACCATTCCCATGCGATCGCTGGTCCACAAGTATCCTCCCAGGAACACCGAGCCGTCGACGCCGACGCATCGCGGTGGGCAGAAGCGGCCGCGCAGCCCCTTCTCGACGCCCGAGCCGCGCGCGGTGATTGACAGTGCGAAGAAGCTCTGCGTGTCTTCCACGACGCAGCGCGACGAGCTCATCTCGGGCACGGAAGCGATGCAAAAGGCCAACCAGGTACAGCATATGCTCTTGCTAAATGTGATCTCATCCATCGCAGGAGCTGCGCCAACGGCTCGTCGAGCACGGCAACCGCGAGAACGAGCTCAAGGAGAAGATCCAGACAATGCTCGTCACGATCAACGAGAAAGAGTCGACGATCGAGAAGATGGATGAAGAGCAAGCCAAGCTGCGCGCGCAGGTCATGCAGCAAGACCACACCGTGCTCGACCTCACTGCCCGCGTCGATGCATACAAGAGCCTCGAAGAAGGCTGGAAGGCCAAGGAGGCCGAGTGGGTGCAACAAAAGGAGCTCCACCTCACGACAGCCGCCGACCTCAGCGCCGCCCAGCGGCAGCTGCAACATGCGCAGAGCGTCATTAGCGTGCTCGAATCGCAAGCAGCCGAGACGTCGACCAAGATGGCCGAAGCGACACAGCAGGTTCGGGACCTTGAGGTTGAGAACCACCAACTTCAGATGCAACGCGACGCCGTCCAGATGAAGCGAGAGCAGCACGAAGAAGACTCTCGGTACGCCACTTCCTGCCTGGATGTCAAGGTCAAGGTTGAACTACTGTAGCAGAAGTGATCAAGAAAGCGTGCTCGTCATGAAGGCTCGGCTTGCGACCGCGCGCGAAGCGTTCCACCAGATGCAGCATTACATGGGCGTGCTGGCGGACCAGATCCAGATCCCAAGCGCATCCGAGGCCAGACACACTGACGCCGCCATCGACGACGACGACGACGACGGGGAGACACAGTGCATGGACAAGTCGCGACCACAGTCCTTGGTCGACTTGGCCGTTGTGGCCGACGCCAAGCACGAGACCACCAACAGCGAGGAGGGCAAAAGCCCGGAGCAGCCTTCGGCGGTCAAGCCGAAAGAAGCGAGGCGGCTGTTCACGACGACCTCGGAATCCGATGACGGTATCAAACCAGAAGCGAGTGACGAGGACAGCGACGAAGACATGACGGCGGAGCACCGACCCGAGTCCAAGGGACTCTCACCGGACGAGACGCATGTGATGGACATTACGACCGACTCACCGCGGGAGGCTGCGCCACCGGCCCTCGTCGAGACCAAGAGCAAGCGCTGGCTGCAGCTCAACACAATGGACGAGTCGCACAACGACAGCGAAACGGGCTTGTTTGACGAAACACAGATTTCCCAAGACTTGCAAGACGAATAAGATACGCGATGATAATACTTCACGGTTGGTACGACTGATCTCACGGCAATGGCGCCGACTGGAAGCGCTTGAGCAGGTTCGCATCTACAAGAGGGTGAGTTTCAATCATGAACGCGTGAGATGACGCACCGTTGAGTTGGCGTTGAGCCTTGATGTTGGCCTTGGACGGCCGCGGCTGGAAGAGCGACGGCGCACTCGCGGCGACTGTTTGCTTCCACGATACATCGATACGCCGCGCAGGCTGGACGGGGGCCACAACGTGCACGGGACTTGGCGTCTCGGGGGCCGGCTCGTCAAGCGTGGTGACAATTTCCTTGGGTTCGGCGCATCCCTTCTCGAGCTTCGTTTCGCGAAGCCGCTCAAAACCAGCAAGAACTTGTTGCTGGAAATATACCTTCTTGGCCTCGGCTTCCTCGAGCGCCCGTTCCATGGCGTCATAGCGGTGCTGGAGCTTCTTGTTTTCCTCGTCACATGCGCTGCGTTCGGCGTTGAGCCCTGCCAGGGCCGACTCTGCAGCGATCAGCGAGGTTTGGGTGGAAGCAAGCGCTTCTTCGTGTCGAGAGCACGTCTGGGACAACTCATCGATGCGGGCGTCAAGCTCAAGCTTCTTCTTGGCCCACGCAGCGTCCTGCTCGTGCCACTGTGCGAGCGTCGCCTCCAGCTTCGCCACATGCGTTTCGAGGTCGCCGATGGTCAGGACCCTGGCATCGACGCTGGCCTTGAGGTCCGCGTTATCTTTGGCTAGCCGCGTGTTGGCAAGCACGAGGTCCCCCTTCTCCGACAAGAGCGCAGTTTGGTCAGCGACCCACTTGGCGGCTTGGTCTTCGCGCTCCTTTGAGGACACGAACGCCCGCGTCTCGAACGCTTCGCACTGGAGCTGAAGGTCGCTGTTTTGTGCCTGAAGACTGCCGACTTGGTTGCGGAGCTCGTCCACCTGGCGCTCAAGAAGCGCGATCGATGCTGCTTTGTCCTTGACCGTGTCGTCGTAGCGGCACTGTCGCTGGAAATCGTCCTCTTGGAGCGCGAGAATCTGCTGCTCTTGAGCGCTGACCGTCATCTCGAGCTCGCTTTTTTCCTTCTCGGTCGTCTCCAAGCACACTTGGAGGCAGCGGATTTCAGAAGAGAGATCTTGGACGCGGTCCTGGAGCTCGACAACATCTGCCGTGAGCCCCTTCGCACGCTCTTCGACTTCATCGCGCTCTTCCGTTGTAACCGCAAGCGTTGCTTGAAGCTGTGCGCTTTCATCAGTCGCTTTCTGTAGATAAAGGACGAGCGCGTCGTGCTCTGCTTGACGTGATGCATCGATCGCCGCTGCTTTGGTCTCGAGCAACGACAGCGCTTCGGTGAGCGCGACGATCTGAGCTCGTAGTTTCTCGTTGTCGGCTTCGAGGTCGCGCTTCTCATCCTTGATCACGACAATTTCTTGCGCGAGACCCGCGCCGATGGAGCCTTGCTGCTCCATGTTGGCCTTGTACAGCTCGACGAGCGCCGACTTGTCATCAACGCGCGTTGTCGCATCGTCGAGCTTGGCTTGGCAATCCTCAAGCATGGACACAAGCTGCGCCTTGTTGCCGCTAAGGGTCGTGAACTCGAGGCGCGCCTCAGTGAGCTCGGCCTCGAGGCGCGTCACACGCTCCTGGGATTCGGTAGCTTGATGGTTGCTACCGTCGACGAGGGCTTGACGCTCAGACGCCCAAGCGGCGTTCTGCGTCTCCAAAACACGCACGCTGGCACGCAACTCAACGAGCTGGTTCGTCAATGCTGCGTTTTCGTCTCGGACGGTGCGGATGTCGGCGTCGTGGGTATCCAAGCCTTCCGTCTTGAGCTTGAGCATCTCGGCTTTGAGCGTCGTTGCTTGTTCCTCGACGGCTCTGTGCTTCTCGCGTAGCGCGTGCTCGTGGGTGAGCTGGACTTGGAGCTGATCTTTGAGGCAAGCAATCTCTGTCTGGCACTAATCACAGTGTCGTCCTGAGAAAACCTTTGACTTCAGCGCATCGTGGCCTACCTCGCAAGTCGATGAGCTGGCTTTCAGCTGGGCGAGCTCCGCCTTTAGGAGCTCTCCTTGCTGCTGTTCCTCAAAGAGGCCAGCCTGGACGGTACTCATGGTCTCGTCCATGCAACCAAGTTCTTCTTCCATTGTCGCCTTCTGCTTGACGAGCTCATCAACGCGTGCTTGTAGCTCCGCGACACGCGGGTCGTCGCCGGCTGGCTCTTTCGGCGATTCTTGCAGGGAGCTCTGGATTTCCATGGCAGATACTTGCGCTTTGAGCGCCGAGATCTCTTCCTCCTTGGCCGTGTTGTACTCCTTGAGCATGACGGACGTTTGCTTGAGTGCCGTCTGCGACTCGTCAAAGTTGAGCTCGAGGCGAAGAATCGCGTTTTCTTTCTCCTTGAGTTTGGCTTTCAACGTAGCGACTGTCTCGTGTAGCGCCATCACATCCGGATCGTTCGCCGACAACGAGCTCTGCACCGACGTGGGCGCATCCTCCGTCTGCATTTGAAATCCTTCGATCTTCTCTTCTGCGCGCGCGAGCGCGTCCGCGTTGATGACAAACTTGGTCTGGAGCGCGTGCAGTTTCTTCTCGGTCGCCTTCTTCTCGCAGAGGAGTTCAAAGTACAGCTCTGATGATGTAGAGTCAGTCGAGCCACTCGGAGTATGTACAGGAGTTGGCGTCGCCGACAGACTTTTCAGGGTCTCGTGGTTCGAGTGCGGTGTGGCCACGGGTGCTATCATTCGTGGTGTTAACATGTACACGCGGAAAAGTCGTCAATGTACCGGCCACAGCAAGACTCGGGGCGGCCACGTTTTCTACACTGGGACTCTGTTGGGGGTGAGCCGAAACCCTCCGAGCCGCGCCAGTCTGCACCTTCGCGACTGCAAGATTCCTCTATTGCACGCCACATGCAAGTAGCAACATAAAGGCTAAGAACGTCGCGAGTACCCGTCGCTTGATGGTGTCGGGCGTATTGGTGATGTTGGACAGAGTCTTGCGCTTGTGATTCTACACATATTTGGTTAGCCATCATTGCTGTGGTGTTGTAAATGCGAACCCGCGGAGTGACGATGTCAGTCGTCGCTCGAGCACCGTGGGGGCTTATCGCATGCGCGTTGACAGTCACGACTTCAAGCTGGCGCGCAAGATGCTTCTTGACACTGGGCTCGAGCGTCATCAAAAAGCTACAGAACGCAAGGAGTGAGTGTTGTTGATGCACCTTGATATCCATACGCGTCTTTGTAATCGGGCCAAATCGAGGCATACGCGCTATACACAGGCAAACTGAGTATACACAGCGTGAGCGCCAAGATAGGTATTGTACGCATAGCATGAGCGGCCAGCATCTCGGCTCACGGGCGACGCATCGCTGAGCGCACTCTACGGCGTTTTTCATCAGCACCCATGTTTGCGTGGAAGTAATAGAGCTACCGCAATAAAGTCCTGGATCTGCCCGCGGTATGTATCCAAGTGCGCGAACGTCCAGTGCTTGAGCAGGATGAGCATGTACTGGACGCACGCATCTCGCATCTGGCCGTTCCTATGTCAACCATCATGCGCTCCGCGTTTTGTATGCATCGCAATCAGGCATCATACTTGCTCGTCTTGGACACGTAGAAGAACGTCGATAGTATGTGGCGAGACATGACGACTTTGAGCACGCGCTCGATGCAGCCGTGGATCGCGCTGCTGTTGACCTGGTACCATCATGAGGGTCTGCCGAAGTTAGAAGAGGAGACCTTGTTGGTGCCCCCTCGGGCGTCGATCATCGTTGAGAAGACGTTCGAGATGAGAAGCTTCGTCTTCTGGCCCAGATGCACTGCGATTTCCGCAAAGACCTCGCATGCTTCCTTGACGACCGCTGATCGGAGCTCGACGAACTACATGAAGAGTCGCATGTCGTTGGAAGCGCTAGGATCACCATGTACGTACGAGGCTGCGGAAGGGAACGACGAGACAGCTGAGGTTCTCTTGGGTGATGCTGCCTGCATTGGCGACGACGTAGCTGTGGATGTCCCGGAGCGCATCGACCTTGAGCTTCCATTCCTCGTCGCCGACCCTCAAGCGCGCTGCGTACCCGTCCAGGGGGCACTGCTTGGACCTCCATCCTAGCTGCTCGGGGCATGAGGTCTAGGCTTCCTCGGCCCCATCCTCCTACCGTCGGCTGCATGGTCCTTGTCCGATCGCGCGCGCCGAGGTGCAAATTTAGGTGGCTTGATTTGAATATTCAAACACGCGGTCCTCGATAGTAGGGTGCAATACGCGTTACAAGAACACAATCCAACCAATCAACGTGCACAAAATTCTGAAACGCGAGGCTGAAATCACCGCTCCTTGGCTGACCGATCCACGCACACCTCAGTTGAAGCATGTATTGTACTATGAGCATGGCTCACGGATCACTCGTCTTCAAGGTTGTTGGATAGGTCATGGCATCCATCAGTCGTTTGCATACCTTTTGGTGTAGAAATTGTGATGGCAGAAGGTATAAATTGCGTGATTTTAAACAATTGGAGGCTGGGTCGCACCTTCGAATTTCAGAATTCCGCATTCGCTGTGGCCTGGCGACGATGATCGCGCTCCTAGAACACATCAACTTGGCCATCGAGGCCTCGGGCGACCCGACGACGGCAACTGCCCGCTTCTACCTGGACGTTCTTGGGTGTGCGCGCGACCCGCGTTTGGAGTGGATGGTCCATGCTAACATTGGTCTCGGCCAATTCCATCTTCTGCCGGGCCAGCCTGCGGACCAGCGCATCAACGGCGAGATCGCGCTCTTCTACACGAGCCTCAACGCGCTCAAGGAGCGACTCGTCGCCCGTGGCCAAGCCTTCTACGAGCACATGAGCGATGTCGTCGTGCCAGCCATTGCGGTGTACGACTTTGCCATGGCCGCGCGCCACTACCGCCACATCGGCGTATCAGATCCCTCTGGCAACTCTATCTTGTGCTTCGAGTCCCCGCACGACTATGCGGCTGCGTCTGCAGCGCTGGGTGCGCACCCGGGCGACGCGGCCGTTGGCGATGGGCTTGCCTACATCAAATTTCTCGTGCGCCCTGGCGCGGCCCGTGGCCTAGGCGCGTTCTACCAGCAGCTTCTCGGTGCGGCCACCGTGGTCCAGCCGCTTGACAAGGCTGCTGCGAGCGATCTCCACCTGTGCAGCGTCGACTGCGGCCCGCTGCAGCGTCTGCTCTTTGAAGAGACACACGAGCTGCTGTTGCCGTACGACGGTCACCACATTTGCATCTACGTAACCGAGTTTGAAGCCGCGTACCACGCGTGCGCGGCCAAGCAGCTCGTGTGGACGAACGCCATTTACGAAGACAAGTGCGACTCGTGGGCGGAGACGCAAAAGTGGCGTCAATTTCGCATCCTGGACATCCGCGACCCAGGATCGAACGCGCTCCTGCTCCAGCTCGAGCACGAGATCCGCCCGCTACAGCACAGTCGGTGCCCGCTAACGTCGGCCAAGTAGTCGTCTAATCTAGTGCTGCGTAATTGTGCGTTGCCAGTTGAGTCCTGTCGTGGGGCGGTCCAGTTGCAGAGGAAGCTGTGGTTCACTTCCGATCCTTTGTCCATGCTCTGGCTCCATGCTTCCATGCCATTTCATATTAGATACAGAAACGGAGTTATCTCCGCTGCCTACAACCACATGCAGAAAACGTCAATGAGCAACCAATACCTGCCGTGCCGACAGCATTTTTCATTTTGCATCACGTCAGGATGAGCGCGGTCAACGCCACGCTTCTTGCTGATGGCTACTGGGGCCCCCCGACGAGCAGCGTCGACTGGTACAACATTCCGTCCTATCTTTTGTGGGCATGGACCAACCCACGTATCTTGTAGGTGCGAAGACAACTACGTCTGGTCTTACTACATTGCAGAGTGGTGGAACTCGTGGAGGTACATTTCTTCATCCACCATCAACGCCGTCTCGAATCCATCTACCTCTAGCAACGTTCCGCCGCTGCTGCTTGCACTCTACGCCCTCTACAAGTCGCGCCTCGCGTACGCCAACCACGCACAGCCAGCGATCATTCGCTTCGCCTACATTGTACCTCTGGTCATCTTTTCTGGCTCGTTCGCCTTCCACTCGACGCTCACGTACGCAGGCCAGCTCCTCGACGAACTCCCCATGATGTACGGAACCCTCTTCTTTCACTACATCAGCCTCCGGTACCATCCAACGATGAAGTGGGTGCTCATCGCCTTTGCCGTCGGCCTCACGATCGCTCTCTCCATCGTCGGCCACGCTCCCCTCGCATTCCAATTTGCCTACGGCTTTCTGGTCCATCGTCAGTCTAAGTATTGCATCCACTGATGCATTGCATGGGTAGACAGTCGCGCTCGTCGTGCGAAGCATCGTCCTGCACCGACAGCACAAGGACGTGAGCGAGACGCGGCTCTTGCAGCTCGGCGCGCTCTTGTACGCGGGAGGGTTTGTACTCTGGATCGCCGACCAAGCGTTTTGTCCGTCGGCCAAGCAGCTGCACTTGCACGCGATCTGGCATCTCCTCTCGGGGGCCGGGACGTTTATGTGGATCCAGTTTGCGTGCGCATACGAGCTGAGCATGCACGAAGAGCGTCTTCGCGTCCGCAAGATCGCGTGCATCTTGCCCTACTGCGTCCGATCGAGTGCGCCGGCAAGCACGCCCACCACAACGCCACAGGTGGCCTTCGTATCGAGGGCATCCGACCACGTCGACACACTTTAACATGTCGTACAAGTCTGCAATACGATCTGACGTTATTGCTGGGACGAAGCACGTGAAACATCACCGTTCGATGTGTATTTGCCTCAAGTTCGAGCAACTCATGCTCGCACGATGTGCCACGGCGCAATAAGAACTCTGTTCGGGCGCTTGGACTCGGCATTTCGCTAATTACAATCCGCCGTCGCGTGCACGATACACGCGCAGATGCCGAAATGATATACAAAGACCCAATGTAGAGAGTAGCGTCATGGAGCTCGTGGCGTCGACGAATCGGAGGAGGATGCGAGCGTCCGTTCGTGTCTGGTCGCCGCGTCGGGTTCCTACGATAGGCTCGTGGCACCGGCAGTCCCTTCGACGGAGGACGACGCGGTTGCAGCAGCTGCTTGGATCAGGTCGACGCGTGCCTCGGAGCGACGAGGGGTCGCACACGACCAAGCGTCGTGGCGGATGTCGTATGCAATTCGATGACCCAACACACTGGATGCCGAGACAGAATTTCATCGCACTTGGCAAACACTTGGCGTTTGTATGGGCGACGTGCATCACGTCAACCAAAAGATTGTCGATCAGGCATTACAGCGGCCACCATGATCTTAAACTTGAACTTTGTATGCGATCGCAAGGATTGATCATCCGCGATTATGACGGATCCGGCCAATCGGCGAAATCAGCTTGATTGTCAATCTCGTTGCGCCTGCCGCCGACCAATCACAGACCGGGCAGGCAGTCCCGGTCCAATCACCTTGGAGGTTGCGCCAAGGCTGGATCCAGTGTCATTTTGCAATTTCCAGCGTCTTGACCAGCATGACTGCGACCACGATCGAAGAGAACTGCCCAGCGTTCGACAACGGCTGCCCCTTCAAGGACGCCAAGGAGCGCGTCGCCGACTGCACCTTCTTCGCCAAGGGCTGCCCCTTCAAGGAGACGAAGGACATGACCGCGCTCTACGATGAGCTCCAGGCGGCGATCCCGGCGTCGCACCACGAGACGGGCACGGCCGCGGCCGAGTCGGTCCTCGCCATGTTCCAGAGCATCCACACCGTGAGCCGCACCAAGAAGACCGAGGTCGGCGCCTGCCCCGTTTTTGTCACGACGTGCCCGTTCAAGACGATCACCAAGGACGGCCGCCCACTCGTGGACGAGCTCCAGATGCGCGCGTGGGGCCAATTCAACGACGACAGCAGCAGCGAGGACGAGGCGCCCCCGCGCAAGCAAGGCCACCTCGCCGAGGACCTCAAGTACGGCACGAAAAAATCACACAAGGAGGCCGAGAACGTCCACTTTATCCGCGAGTTCATCAAGGGCCGCATCAACAAGGACGCGTACAAGACGATGGTCGCCATGTTCTACTACGTCTACGGCGAGCTCGAAGAGCAGATGCGCCGCGCCTATGCGCTCCGCGACCCGATCTTCTCGCCGCTGCACTTTCCCGACGAGCTCGAGCGCAAGAAGGCGCTCGAAGTCGACTTGGCGTACTACTATGGCCCCAACTGGGCATCGACGATGCCGGCCATGACGCCTGCGACAAAGGAGTACATTGCGCGCCTCCAGTATATTGGCACGAACGAACCGTCCATCTTGGTTGCCCACGCGTACACGCGGTACCTCGGCGACCTCTCGGGCGGTCAGATCCTCAAGAAGATTGCCATCAAGGCGCTCGGCCTCGAGAACGGCAACGGCACGGCGTTCTACGACTTTAAGAATATGACCACGACCCACAAGGTGTTCAAGAACAAGTACCGTGACGCGCTCAACAACTTGCACGTGACGCAGGCCATCTCGGACCGCTTGGTCGAGGAAGCCAACCTCGCGTTCCTTCTCAACATGAAGCTCTTTGAGGAGCTCGACGTGCTCTCGGGCTTCAACACGCCCGAGCAGCAGCAAGCCGACGCGATTCTGCGCCGCCGCCAGGCCGAGACCGCGCCCAAGGAAGTCGAGACGCGCACGGGCGGTGTGTGCCCGTTTGCCAAGATGGTTGGTCAGCCCGGCATCAAGGAGCTCGCGATGAAGTACCACGGCGATGACATGAGCGCCGACGAGTTTGATGAGCTCAAGGCCGAGTACGATGCGGCCAAGTGGGAGGCACGCAAGAAGCTTCTGAAGCAGTACAGCGTCTCGATGCTGGTCATGGGCGCCGCCGTCGGTCTCTCGCTCTTCTTCAAGCAGCATTAAGGCTTAGGGCTAGGGCTTTCAACTACTATTTACATCCTTAATCGACGATGAACATCAAATCTCCACGTGAACAGACAATCGTGTGCATCGCTAGTAGACATGACCTCGATCACGACAACGAGACCGAAGCGTCCTATCTGACGTGATACGTTTGGCGACCAGTTCAAGCTCGGTAGCTGATGGTAGTGTCTGCAACAAATGAGGGTATTGGAAAAATGAATCCAAAATTGTTACCAGTGGCAGCTATGACCTAGGGCTATTACTTGGCCGTGTGGGCCGTCGTGTACGGCAGGATGGCGCCAATGCGCTGGACGCGCAACGTCTTCTTGCTGCGCGAGAGCTCGTGCGCGCAGGCAAACTGAATCCACACAAACGTGCCGGTCCCCGAGAGGAGGTGCCACAAGGCATGGAGCTGCAATGGCTTGACAGTCGCGCAAAAGTGCTGGTCGAGCAGCCAAAGGCCAAATGCAGCCACGTACAAGACCGCGCCGAGCTGCAACAAGCGCGTGTGCCCGACATCTTCGTGGTTGACGTTGAACAAAAGGCTACGCGCAAGAAGCGCGGCCACCTACGCAGCAGTCGTATGTTAGCGTCGTCGCCTTGTGCTCTTCTTTATGACGTACGAGCGTGCCGTAGGCAACGCGGAAGGGCATGGGCGACTCGGGGAAGAAGGCCATCATGAGCGTGAGCCCGATTGCAAACGCGATAAGGACCCACTTCGTGATCGGGTTGTGCCGGAGGCTAATGTAGTGAAAGTAGAGCGTGCCGTACATCATGGGGAGTTCGTCGAGCATTTGGCCCACAAACGACAAGGTCGAGTGAAAGGCAAACGAGCCGGCAAAGACAATGACGGGCACGAGGTACGCGATGCGGATCGAGGTTGGCTGCGCGCTGTCGGCGTACGCCTGGCGCGACTTGTACATGGCGTAAAGCGCCAAGGCGAGCGGCGGCACGTTGCTACACATTAGAAATGATTGGGCCATGGTGTCAACGCGGCGGCCAACCTCCACGAGTTCCACCACTCGGCAATGTAGAAGGACCACACGTAGTTGTCTTCGCACCTAGTACAGACTGAGGTCGTCGCGTCACGCGTATGATGCAACGGACCAGTCGACGCTGCTCGTCGGCGCGCCCCAGTAGCCCATCTCGGTCGTCGCCATGCTCGGATCTGCCTGATGACGAAATGAGAAAAAAGGCAAAGTGCAAAAAACGGCGTTATTAATAGCCGGTGCAGCCATCATGCGATGGAGCTTCAACCTGCCGTCTCGCGTCATCAAGCGACCTGTAGGCGCCAAGGGAATACTGTATGAGACTCTGTACGGCTACCGACTCCATAGCGCCGACCGTAAACCTTCGTACTACTCGTACTCTCATTTATAACAAAAACAGGATCAGCTCATATTTAGGCTAGGGACACGTTTTAGCGCCAATTCCGCTTCTTCCAGAGCGACGGCCTCAGCGAATGTGACTTTAAACAGCGTGGTACACGTCCTCCGCCTCGGTCCAGTGGGACGGCGCACTCGATCGGACGCAGTAGGGCAAGATGCACGCAACCTTGCGGACGCGAAGACGCCCTTCGTGCATGCTCAACTCGTACGCGCACGCAAACTGAATCCACACAAACGTCCCGGCCCCCGAGAGGAGATGCCAGATCGCGTGCAAGTGCAGCGGCTTGGCCGACGGAAAAAACAATTGGTCGGCGATCCAGAGTACAAACCCTCCCGCGTACAAAAGCGCGCCGAGCTGCAAGAGCCGCGTCTCGCTCACGTCCTTGTGCCGGCGGTGCAGGACGATGCTTCGCACGACGAGCGCGACTGTCTACCCATCCAATGCATCAGTGGATGCAATACTGAGACTGACGATGGACCAGAAAGCCGCAGGCAAATTGGAACGCGAGAGGAGCGTGGCCGACGATGGAGAGAGCGATCGTGAGGCCGACGGCAAAGGCGATGAGCACCCACTTCATCGTTGGATGGTACCGGAGGCTGATGTAGTGAAAGAAGAGGGTTCCGTACATCATGGGGAGCTCGTCAAGGAGCTGGCCTGCGTACGTGAGCGTCGAGTGGAAGGCGAACGAGCCGGAAAAGATGACCAGAGGTACAATGTAGGCGAAGCGAATGATCGCTGGCTGTGCGTCGTTGGCGTACGCGAGGCGCGACTTGTAGAGGGCGTAGAGTGCAAGCAGCAGCGGCGGAACGTTGCTAGAGGTAGATGGATTCGAGAGATTGGCAATTTTCCCTGTACTAATCAGCACAATTTGTGCAGCCTCCTGTTGCAACACGTGGGGTCGGCAACACATATGTATGGGCAGTCCACAGCCTGTCGAGAATATGCTGCAAACTACAGTCCCAAGTGTTGTGCGATACTACATGTGTCAAGTGCGTGCGCTACAGCCACCGCGTTGGCGCACACTAGTCGGACATCCCACGAAGACTTGCAAGCACCTTTCCCCTGGGACGAAGCTCTGGGACGAGTGACACAGGACAGCACCCACGGTCGAGAAACATCTGCTATGGACCGTCGAGAAAGTGTCGAGAATATATCCCGTGAACTGTACACTGTACCCCTCATCTTGCAGGTAGTAATTTCATAATAACTTAGCAATCGTTTGGAATACGCTCAAGCGATGTACGCTTGCATTGTCCAGGCTTGGCTTGACCTATCCAGAGATAACCTTATGTACAATCCACTCACCACAACGGACAATCCTAAAGACCCTACACACCACCATTTTACCAGCAAGTCTGTTGGGTGCCGTGCGGCGACGCCCAACGTCTGTTGTTGTGCTGGATGCGTGGTGTGATTGTCTAACAATTCGAATTTCTTTGCTATTAAAAACGCGCCAGAACCCCCTGTGCCAGCATTGGACGGTGCAATTTCCTTTCTGAAAAAGAAACCCAATACCGTACAGTCCCTGGTGTCAGTGCCAGTACCAATTGGGAGCGGTCTCAGTCCATACATGTACCGGTACAGTACATATTTGTCTTGCAGAGTCCGGGGATTCGGTCCTTCTTGATAGATTGCTGGAGGAAGAATGCATCGAACGGAGCGATGTACACCCCTCTCAAAGCGACAACGTGACCTAGAAGCGAGCCTGCCAGCCTTTTTCACTCAGCTCTGAGACAGACTCGATCGTTTTCGAATCGCGCACGGTTTGTATGCCAGGCTACTCCCGACCCGACGATCGAACAACAGCTTGGCTACGTCCCATGGCCGATCTGCTTCTGCCAATGACGAACGACGAATGATAGATGGGAGGGTATGCGGCCGTCTGCGTGTCTTTTCAAGCATTCGATGGTGCGCAGCAATTGTTGTCTCGAGACAGCCTGCGAAACTCCCTCTCCTCTTGCGGCTTCAAGTCCCTTCAAGCGCGCCCGATCCTCCCGCTTCGACACCAAACCAAAGGTCGACGAAGCTTACACTCGAACTTTCTTTCTCGACAAAAGCATTCCTCGTCGACGATAAGCGACCTACTAGGAGACACTGGCTGTCGTCGGCCGAGCAGCTTCAACACGTTTTTTTGGGGGCGCGTGTTTTTCCCGCCACGTTCTCGGCCCGACACCCAACTTGCGACAATGCACCAATCACGGGGCGCGCAGCCAGAATGCAGCCAATCAGCGTGCGCGCGTCACACCGACGACCATGCTCTCGACTGCATTTTCGCACTCGCTCTGCGCCGGGACAGCAGCATGCCCAGCCTCGCCGCCATGGACGCACCGCCCCTCGAGCCCAAGACGTTCCACGATGGGGACGCCTCGGCGATGGCTGGTAGACGCATCCTCCTAATTGACTGCGTAGCTCATGGACGCGGCCCTCTGTAGGTACTACGCTCGCCGACCCGTCGGCGCCCGAGGCGCACTACGCCGAGGACAACCCCTGTAAACCTCAACCATCGTGACGACTAGTAGGCTCATCAATGCACGATATATAGTGGCGACGCAGATGACGGACCTCTTCAAGCTCATCCACGAAGTGAGCTTGACCAAGCGGCAGGAAGTCGACCCGGCGCTCGTGACAAAATGCCACAAGACGGGCGTGACGCCGCAGGACCGGCCGCTCGGCGCCGAGCTCGAGCTGCGAACCTGGGGTCTCTTTGAGGACGAGGCTGTCGTCGCGCCACCGACGCCGGCGAAGACGCCGACGGTCAACCTCGCCAAGGACCTCAAGTACGGCACGAAAAAATCGCATCGGGAAGCCGAGAACGTCCACTACATTCGCGAATTCCTCAAAGGCCGCGTGAACCGGGATGCGTACAAGTGTATGCTGGCCATGTACTACTACATTTACACCGAGCTCGAAGAGATGATGCGGGCCGCGTTCGAAGCGCACGACCCGATCTACAGCCCGTTGCACTTTCCGACCGAGCTCAACCGCGTGAGCGCGCTTGCAGAGGACCTCGCCTTCTTCTTTGGCCCGAACTGGGCCAAGGTCATGCCGCCGCCGACGCGGGCGACGAAGGAGTATCTCGCGCGCCTCCACTACATTGGCACGAGCGAACCGTCCATCTTGGTGGCCCATGCGTACACGCGGTACCTCGGCGACCTCTCGGGCGGCCAAGTGCTCAAGCGCATTGCCATCAAGTCTATGGACCTCCACGACGGGCTCGGCACGGCGTTCTACGACTTCAACAACATGAAGATCAAGCACAAGGTGTTCAAGGACAAGTACCGCTCGATCCTCGACACTCTCGACGTGAGCCAAGAGGTCTCGGACCGCTTGGTCGAGGAAGCCAACCTCGCGTTCCTTCTCAACATGAAGCTCTTTGAGGAGCTCGACATCATTTCCGGCTACAGTACGCTCGAGAAGCAGCAGGCGGAAGCGGTCTTGCGCCGACGCGAAGCCGAGGCCCTCGCGACGCCGACCGACGTTCCGAAGAGCGCGTGCCCATTTGCCAAGCTCATTGGCCAGCCCGGTATCCGCGAGCTCGCAATGAAGTACCACGGCGACGACTTTACGCCCGAAGAGTTTGCGACGCTCCAGGCCGAGTACGATGCGATCCAGGCCGCGTCGAGAAGGAAGTTCATTGCGCAGTGCGGCTACACGCTCCTCGCGGTCGGCGCGACGGTCGCCGTGTCGCTGCTCCGAAAACGGTAGAGCCATAGTCGTAGTCGTAGTAGTCGTAGGATAGGATGTTATTAGATGGGACGCTGACGAAGTCAACTCGGTTGTGGTGTACGTTCGTTGTCCGTGGCGTGAAGTACCGTCGAGTGGAATAGCAAATGAGGCTACGATGGACTACAGCGACGGCGAGTGCTTGAGAAGGTCGAGGATCGTGGCGAGCTGCGCGTCGTGGGCGAGCGCTTTCGCGGCCGAGAGCGCAGCGTCCTCTTCTCGCTGCTGGGCTACGCTACGCTCGAACGACGTCTGCCATGCCTGCATGGCGGCCACCTGCGCTTCGAGATCGTGCACGCGCCTACGATGCAGTCATCATCAGAAAGGGCTACGACTTCAAGGAGATGTACTGAAGCAAGTCGGTATATGTTGGCTGCGCCGGCACGGCCGTCGGGGTTGGTGGCGGTGCGATAAAGTGTGTGAACGCAGCGTCGTGGCCTGCCACCTCATCGAGGGCATCGTCTTTGGGAAGATCGTCGGGCGTGAGCATCGGTGGCTCGGGCGGCTTGGTCTTCTCAAAGAGCGCATCGAGGCTCGACTGCGTCTGGAGGCTTGCAACGTGGTAGCGCTGCCGAAAGTTGTCCATCCAGCCATTCGACGCCTTGAAGTCGGCGATCGAGAGCTCGTTCGCGAGGCGCAGCGCCTTCTCGCGGAGCATTGAGCCCGTCACGAGCACGTTCCGACCGGTCGCTTCTTGGTACCACTTGTAGACAAGCGAGCTCAAGAGCGCGTTCGTGTCGGTGCGAAACTTGCGCTTCCGAGCTGCATCGTCGTCCGTGGCCTTGGCCATCGTGATGTACTCGTGCTTCCGCTTCAAGATACGGCTCACGGTCGCGCTCGAGACGCCAAACTGCTTGGCGAGCTTCGAGTTGGTCGCGTGACCGCGGCTGGCTTGCGCGATGAGCACGGCCTTCTCGTGCACGCTGAGCTCCTTGGCCGGCTTCTTGATCTTGGCGGCCGGAGGCTCGTCGCTGCCCATGGCTTGTATCACAATAATGTGCCGGATATCATGCAAGCGCGGCCATCCGGATACGGTGCAACGCGATCTTGCCGCCAAAAGCTGCTTCAAGCTCCGTTCGGCACCAAGCAGCATCCAGGTAAGCCCTTGCCGCCCGCGGCCTCTCTTATCACTCTTGGCACTCACTTGCACTCGGGCGCATGCGCCTGCTTCATCACAGCGGATAGAACACCCTATCTGGGCTTTCCATTTTCACACTATTTCACACATACTTCGAATAGTATAGACACACTATATGCAACCCAATCGATGGATCATTTCGCGAAAGGTCACGGGTCGGGCGAGGCGCAGCATGGCCGACGGCGCGGTGCGTTGGTCAATGGCCGGATCCAGCCGGCTTAAGGCAATGGCATTTGCATAGGAGTACACGGTCGAGTACCTCGACGAGAACCCGGAGGAGCTCAAGTGGCTCAGCCGCCCCGGCAAGGTCAAGATCACGTACGCGAACGGCGACACGTTTGAGGGCGACGTGAACGCAGCGCGTCTCAAGCACGGACCCGGCAAGTACATTTGGACCGAGCGCGTCGACGACGAGGTCAAGGAGATTGCTTGGTACGAAGGCGACTACGTCGATGGCAAGAAACACGGGCTCGGGAAGATGCAATTCCCGAACGGCGACGTCTACCACGGGCAGTGGGCCAACGACATCATTGACGGCCAAGGCACGCTCATGTACAAGAACGGCGACATCTTTAGCGGAACGTACATTGCGGGGATCAAAGAGGGCAACGGGACGTACGAGTACGCCGCCGACAAGAGCCAACTCGTGGGCACGTGGGTTCAAAACACCATCATCGAGGGCAAGTGGCTCTTCAAGGACGGCGGCTACTACACTGGTCACTTTGAGAACGCGATGCCGATCGGCCAGTGCATCATGCAGCTGCCGAATGGTCTCAAGCAAGAAGGTGTGTACGCCAAGGTGGAGGGCGTCAACGCGGCCGGCGATGCGGTGCTCCTCCCGACCTGGAAGGGCGAGGCGATCACCAAGGTCTTTTAAACCCGAGACTTGCATGTATATAATGATATATGACGACGACGACGACAGCGTCTTACTGAATGTACGCCTTGAGGAAGCGGCGGTGAAAGTCATTGCGGATCGTGTCGTTGATGAAGCGCTTCTTGAGCTCCGGTTCGTTCCGCGACTGGTTCTTGAAGACCACGTCGTCGTTCCACTTGCGCTTGATGGTCGCGCTGCCGGTTGGCGCCTGCGCGCTCGTGAGGGGGTTGCCCATGAGGACTTCGTCCTTGGCGCGCTTCTCTTCTTCGTCGCGCTCGGCTTGCTCCTTGCGCAGCCGCTCTTCTTCGCGTTCTTTTTTGATTTTCTCGAGTTCGCGCATGAGCTCGGCCTCCTCGTCGTCCGAGTCGTCGTCGTCGCTCTCGCTGTCGCTTTCGCTGTCGCCAACGTCGTCGTCTGCATCGTCGTACTTGGTTTGCACGTCTCTCGCCCTGTCTTCCCACTCGTCGCCTTTTAATAAGAGCGTCTTGTTGTCTTTGAGCCGCATGATCTTTTGCTGCGCAAAGTCGACTTCCTTGAGCTTGTCCTCTTCGTACTTGCGCTCGCGGTCCGTGAGCTCGCCGATGAGGTCGCGCTCCGAGAGCTCGCCAGCCGTGCCTTGGCCCAGCTGCCGCGTCTTGAGCTTCGTGTGCCCCGGGAGGTCGCGCGCCGAGAACTGCATGCTGATCTGGCCACCCGAGTTCCATCCGCCCTCGTTCTTCTTGCCCATGGCAGCATTGAACGTCGGGCGAGCGGCCGTCGTCATCCTTGGTCGTTGGCTTCCGCTAAATTCCAAGTGGCTTGGCGCTCCAGCTGGTTCGGAGCGCACCGAACTGCATACAAAAACCAAGGTATTTCCACGAGCGCTCCGGGGCGCCCTCTAAATATCGAGTTTCAAAGGTATAAAAGAAAACAGGTTTTAGGGTTTGCTCGGATGATCCGGTCGGCCATACAAATACCCAATGTTGTGGCAACAAGCTGTGGCGTCGGCTGCACCCGGACGCTTGCACTTGCATAGGCAAGTCCCCATGCAGGAGACGGAGAAATGCAGAGCGCTGTACTCGGCGCTCGGTCGTGGCGACTCGCAGCCAGGCAAGATCGACTAAAACCATGGAACTTGGAGTAAAACGTAAGTTAAACTGCGTTTGAGATGGTGATTGGCTGAAATCCCTTAGCGTGGGCACCTCATACTTTTGCACCTCCGACCGACCAGGACGCATGGACCGCCGAAGCTCTCGTTCGTCGTCGCGGTCGAGCTCGAGCTCGCGCAGCCCGAGTGCTCGTCGTGGCAACGGAAAGCGCCGTAGTAGCTCCCGCAGTCCGAGTGGTCGCCGTGGTAAGCGCCGTAGCCCATCGCGCAGCCCAAGCCCGCGCCGTGAGAAACGTCGCAGCGCGTCCCGCAGCCCTAGTGGCCGTCGTGGCCAGCGCGGTAGCCCGTCGCGCAATCTTAGTCCGCGTCGCGAGAAGCGTCGTAGCCCATCGCGCAGCCCGAGCCCGCGCCGTGAGAAGCGTCGCAGCCCGTCCCGCAGCCCTAGTGGGCGCCGTGGTAAGCGCCGTAGCCCGTCCCGCAGCCCAAGCCCGCGCCATGAGAAGCGTCGCAGCCCATCGCGCGACCGTTTTCGTCGGAGAAGTCGTTCGAACGACCGGCGTCGGCGTGGCCGATCGCCGTCGCCGCGCCACAAGCGTCCGCGCAGTCCCAAGCGCAGTGCTGAGCGCAACCAGCGCCGGAAAGCGTCCACGAGCCCCCGTCGCCCGAGCCCGAGCAAGCGGTTGAGCCCTCCGCTGCGGTCGCGTGGGAGCCCGCGCAAGGCGGACAAGGAAAACACGGCGTCGACGAATACCGCCGAGGCGCCGACCAAGAGCCGCACGATCGACATTCTCACGAACGACACCAAGCGCGGCCGGACGGGCGGCGTCTACATCCCGCCGTTCAAGCTTGCGCAAATGAAGAAGGACGAGATGGACAAGTCGTCGCAGGAGTACCAGCGCATGACGTGGGACGCGCTCCGGAAGAGCATCAACGGTCTCATCAACAAGGTCAACGTGTCCAACATTGCCAACATCCTCCCGGAGCTCTTCCAAGAGAACCTCGTGCGCGGCCGCGGCCTCCTCGTGCGCTCGATCATGAAGGCGCAGTTGGCGTCGCCCGGCTTTACCCACATTTACGCGGCGCTTGTCGCCGTCATCAACACCAAGATGCCCGAGAACGGCGAGCTCCTCTTGAAACGCGTCGTGCACCGCTTCCGGCGGGCGCTCAAGCGTGGCGACAAGGTCGTCGCGATTGCGCTCGTGCGCTTCATTGCGCATCTCGTCAACCAGCAGGTCGTCGAAGAGCTCCTCGCGCTCGAAGTGCTCACGTTCCTCTTGACGAGCCCGACCGACGACTCGGTGGAAGTCGCCGTCAACTTCACAAAGGAGTGCGGGCAAATGCTCAACGAACTCTGCCCGGAAGGTCTCCGCGCGATCTTTGAGCGCTTCCGTGGCATCCTCCACGAAGGCGAGATCGACAAGCGCGTCCAGTACACGATCGAAGGACTCTTTGCGATCCGGAAGGGCAAGTTTGCCGACTACCCAGCGGTCCACGAGCAGCTGGATCTGGTCGAGGCCAACGACCAGATCACGCACCAGATGGGTCTCGACGACGAGGTGGATGTCGAGGACAAGCTCGACATTTTCCGGTTCGACCCCGACTTTGAAAAGAACGAGCGCATGTGGAAGGAAATCAAGAAGGAGCTGCTCGGCGAAGATTCTGAAGCCGAAGACGGCGACGACGAGTCGGGCGACTCGGACGACTCGGACGATGAGGATGCGACCGACGCGGCGCCGACGACGCTGCAGATCCACGACTTTTCCGAGCAGGACCTTGTGAACCTCCGCCGTACGATCTACCTCACCATCATGTCGAGTGTGAGCCACGAAGAATGCGCGCACAAGCTGCTCCGGCTCAACATTCGTCCCGGGCAGGAAGTCGAGATCTGCGGCATGCTCATCGAGTGTTGCTCGCAGGAGCGCACGTACTTGCGCTACTACGGTCTCCTCGGGCAGCGCTTTTGCCTCATCCAGCGCGAGTACCAGAACGCGTTTGACGATGCGTTCGCCAAGCAGTATGCGACGATCCACCGCCTCGAGACCAACAAGCTCCGGAACGTCGCCAAGTTCTTTGCCCATCTCCTCTTCTCGGACGCGCTGCCGTGGACGGTCTTTGAGTACATTCGCCTGAGCGAGGAAGAGACGACGTCGTCGTCCCGTATCTTTATCAAGATCCTCTGCCAAGAGCTCGCGCAGCACCTCGGCGTCGCCAAGCTCAAGGAGCGCTTCATGGACGAGTTTATGGCCGCGACGTTCAGCGGGCTCTTCCCCAAGGAAAACCCGCGCAGCATGCGCTTTGCCATCAACTTTTTCACGTCGATTGGCCTCGGCGGGCTCACGGTCGAGCTCCGCGAACACCTCAAGAACGCGCCCAAGGCCATCATGAACGCGCCGGCGCCGTCGTCGGACGACAGCAGCTCGGACAGTTCGTCCTCGGGCCGCAAGTCGTCGTCGTCGTCGGGGTCGTCGTCGTCGGGGTCGTCGTCCAGCGACAGCAGCTCCGACTCGAGCGATTCGGAGTAGGCACCTGTCTCGAATCTTGCCCGCCATAATACTGTGTTTTCTCTACGCGTCACCTGTCTTGCCTCAGTGTTTGGCTCTTGTCGCCCGTCTCTGGCAGTGCAGTCATCGGCCAAGTCCGTGCACATACTAGGCAAGGGCAGCGCACGCTGGCCCACGCTCTTGCCCCGCTTCGCTCGCTTGCCCATCATGCTACGCCCTATTTGTTCTTATTTCGACCGCCAAGATATGGGATACGTGGACTCTGTGATGACGATTACTCTAGTCCGACGACGACTACGCTGTCGCAGGTCGATGACGTTGGACGCGGAAGCCGTCATCATCATCCTCTTCATCGTCATCGTCATGCGCCGGCATCGCTGGCGGCCATGGGCCATAGCTCCTGCAGCTCGTCCGCAGCCAGTCGCACCTGCTGCCTGTCGTACGAGGTGAAACGCATGGCTGGATTTAGCGGCGTCCGGATGCGGCCGTGGGTTTCACCATGGCGGGTTTCGCGAAGCAAACTATTTTCGAATTCGCTCGGTCCTGGTCGCATCTTCAGATCGCTGTCATCAGATGGAGGAGAAGTCGCGACGCCCCGAAGGTACACGAAGGCTAGCCGCGCCGGACGACCTTGACGCTTCCGGTGCATGTAGACACGCCCTTCAAGCAGCAGAAGCTCAAGGCGTGGCAGCCGATTCTGACGCCCAACTGGGTCATTGGCACCTTCTTCGTCGTCGGGCTCATCTTTATCCCGATTGGCATCATCCTCCGCGTCGAGTCGGACCGCGTACGTGGCGTTTTGACTGGCCGAATGATACTGATCGGGATGGGGCGTAGGTCGTCGAGTACTCGATCCAGTACGACGGCGCTGGTGCGCTCACGGCCGCGAACGGCACGCAAGGCGGGCGGTACACGGTCTTGAACACGAACGGGTCGCCGGGCTGCCAGCTCGCGAAAGAGTCGGACGGCAACCAGTTCGATCTCTCGGCGCACAGCTGCATCCTCCGCTTCACGCTCGACCAAGACATGAAGGCGCCCATCTATGTCTACTACCAGCTCGACAACTTTTACCAAAACCACCGCCGGTACGTCGCGAGCCGCAGCGACGAGCAGCTCCGTGGCACGCAGCCCGCGTCGCTCTCGGACTGCGACCCGATGGGCTCGTCGCCCAAGAACACGCCGCGGTACAGCTCGCTCACCAACTCGACGCCCGACGTCGGCACGTGGGCGCTCAACCCGTGTGGGCTCATCGCCAACAGCATGTTCAACGGTACTCGTCCATCTCGCTCTCGCGTCATGAGCTCATGGCGCCAGTAGATATGTTTTGGATCAACAGCATCACGACGCCGTCGGGGACGCGCTACATGCAGACCGACATGTACCCGACGCCATCCTCGGCGACGGTCGAGGTCGTCAACCTCATGCAGCAAACCGGCATTGCGTGGCAGTCGGACATTGACGCCAAGTTTGACAACATTGCTTCGAGCCAGCAGCTGCCGAACGAAATGTATCTGTGGCAAAACCCCAACTACCGGTACATCATCCCGAAGAAGGTGGGCGAACCCCGCATTCTGAACGCGACCGCGTGGACGACGCCAACGTCGACCGCGTTCGGCGTCAAGAGCGAGCACTTCATCGTGTGGATGCGCACGGCCGGCCTCCCCAACTTTCGCAAGCTCTACGGGCACATTGAGAACGACCTGCCCAAGGGCACGACGCTCGACTTTCTCGTCTCGTCGAGTACGTCGTCTCGACTCGTGTCATCTGTACTCATGTCAATGGAGTAGACTTTGTTGTCAACAGCTTTGAGGGCAAAAAATCGCTCGTGCTGTCAACAACGTCGTGGTTTGGCGGCCGCAACCCGTTCCTCGGCATCGCGTACATCACCGTCGGCTCGCTCTGCATGGTGCTCTCGATCCTCTTCTTTGCCAAGCACAAGCTGTCGCCACGCAAGCTCGGCGATACGCGATACCTGGTCTGGAAGAACAACCAGTAGCGAGAGCCACCACCACCCTTACATAAGACGATTCATTCAATACAATAACTGCACAGATTGGTGCGCGACCACGCCGCCGAGAGACCCGACGCGACCATTGCCATTGCCATGCTAGACGTGGCGATACGAACCCAGAGTGTGGTGGCAGAGGTCGTCTCGCCGCACGGGTCGGGTCGTCTCGCTGCACGGGTCGCGGCGCTGGCTGGTGGGATGCAGGTAGCCACGTCAGAGCTACGACGCCGCAAGGAGACGTGCAAGGCTTTGCAGCGGCTCCGGAACCCGCCGCCATGGGACATGCTCACCTCGCATCATCACTTGCTCGTCGAAGGCAGAGGTCGAAGTTGGCTTGCCACCGAGGCAGCAGGAAAAATATGTTTTTTATTTCATTCATGCTCTCTATATACAAACATAAAGTGATAAAAAGAGATGACCGGCGGAGATCGAAGTTCGAAGCCAACCGACTCGAAAAGCGGGCAGTAATTTTCGACGGGAAGGGCAGGACGCGGACGACCTGGACACTACGCGATGAGCAACACGGACGCCGAGCACTCGAAGCGGCCCGACGGTACGGGCGCCGCCGGTTCCTAGGACGCTTATGCAACGATCGAGGCTAGATACGCCGTTCAAGCAGCAGCGCCTGAAGGCGTGGCAGCCGATTCTGACGCCCAACTGGGTCATTGGCACCTTCTTCCTCGTCGGGCTCATCTTCATCCCGATCGGAGTCTTCCTCTTTGAAGAAAACAAGAACGTACGTGCTGAGACTACGACGCCTCGTGATGCTAGAGGCGTAGATCGTCGAGATGTCGCTGCAGTACGATGGCGTCAACATGCACACGCCGTCGGCCTCGGACGGCGTCGCGCTTCAGAACGTGAGCGCGAATGGCTGCTACCTCAAGAACGCCAAGGAAGGCGACGCGTTCAACCTCACCGAGCACGGCTGCGTTGTCCAGTTTACGCTGCAGGAAGACATGAAGGCGCCCATCATGGTGTACTATCAGCTCGACAACTTTTACCAGAACCACCGCCGGTACGTCTCATCCCGGAGCGATGCGCAACTGCGTGGCGATCCTGTGGTACATCCCATCTCGACGTGCACGGGCTCGGCTGGCATCACGGGTGTCAAGTACAACTCGACCGAGGACCTCGCACCGGGCGCGCCATCCGCGTTCTACCGCTTCAACCCGTGCGGCCTCATCGCCAACAGCCTCTTCAACGGTACGCAAACACACCTCCTAGGGCCCATATCTCATGTTGTCTCAGATCTCTTTTGGATCAACTCGATCACGACGCCGGACGGCAAGTACCTTGGCCAAACCGACACGTACAAGGGCAAGGAAGTCGTCAACCTCATGGAGCAGTCGGGTCTTGCGTGGCAGTCGGACATTGAGACCAAGTTTGAAAACCCCAAGACGCTCTCGAGCGACGACATGATGCTGTGGCAAAACCCCAAGTACCGCTTTGTGATTCCGTCGCGTCTCGGCCAAGAGCGGATCCTGAACGTCACGGGCTGGACGGCGCCGACGCCGCTCTATGGCGTCGAGACGGAGCGCTTCATCGTGTGGATGCGCACGGCCGGCCTCCCCAACTTTCGCAAGCTCTACGGCAAGATCAACACGGACTTGCCCAAGGGCACGGTGCTGCGCTTCCTCGTCTCGTCGAGTACGTTGCCCATGCTGCTATAAGCGATCACGTATGTATGTAGACTTTGCGGTGACGCCGTTTGAGGGCAAGAAATCGCTCGTGATCTCGACGCTGTCGTGGTACGGCGGCCGCAACCCGTTCTTGGGCGTCGCGTACATGGTCATTGGCTCCATCTGCATCGTGCTCTCGCTCATCTTCTTTGCCAAGCACAAGATGACACCGCGCAAGCTCGGCGATACCAACTACCTCGTCTGGAAGGCCAAGAACTAGGCTAACTACTACTACACCACCACCGACCTTACGCACTCTACTGTCCTACATCGCCCTAGTCTCGTCGATGCACACTCGGCATTTCTTAGTTGGGGCTGAGTCACTCCTCATCACATAAGCCCCAGCTTCAATTCCCGGCGTCCGTATCGCGCCAGGCAAATTTGTATTCCCTTGTTTCGCCCTCCCTCGAGGCTCCCACCGAGCAGCAGCCTCTCGCAAGTCGGACACCTCGGGCAATGGCCCAACATAGTACTGTAGAGTTGCTGCACAAGCAACTCTGTGGAAGCTATTGTCTTGGCCAACCTTTGTTTCCTCGTACGTTTTTCGGTTTGAGAAGCGTAACGGGAGCTTCGGCCTTTGCGCATGCGCATCGCGCCCGACACGTCCTTGGTTGATGTGGCGGCGCCTCGGCATTCTGCAAGGCGCCACCTTGTCGGCGTGTCTTATGCCTGCGCCTGCCTCGTCGTGGGCGTATGCTTCAACAGCCTCGCGCATGTCTACCTCGAGACGAGTCCGTTCTGGCCGTCGTTCCAGTCGCAGTACACGGCGCCGTGGCTCGCTGCGCAGCTGCGATCGCACTTGGTACTTGGCCCGACGTGGCCGGACCTCGACGTCACCGCAGTCGGCGTCGCTGCATCTGATGCGATGGGCACGCCACCGGCGTACGCTCGGCAGCTGATGTACGACGACTTGACGTCGCTCGAGGCAGCCATCGCGGGGCTCTGGCGACTCGAGAGCAGCCACTTGTCAATGATACTGTCGGGCTACTGCTGGGCCGACTTGCAGCGGCGCTGGGCGCTCGGGCACACAGCGCGCCGTCAAGCGCGCTGCGAAACTGCGTACGTCGCTAACGCCGCCGTCTACTTGGAAGCGATTCTGCGCAATGTGGCCGACGTGCAGGCGTGGAATGACGTGGCACGATTTGAGAGCACGATTGCGTTGCCGATTGCGTCAACATTTGAGGACGGCGCCGCCTGGGTCGACTCGGTCTATGCCCACGCGAGAGCACCGAGCATCGAGGAGGAAGCACGCGTGTGGCGAGCGCACGGCTGCCGCACGTTTGTGCTGCAGTGGGCCAACCGAATCCAGGTCGGCGTCTTCGAGACCATTCAGCTGCGCAACGCGCTGGGCATGCGCCAGCCGTTCACGCTGCACGCACTGCCGTCAACGTTGATGAGCATGGCGTGGACGTCGTTGTACCTCTTTGCGGGTCTCTTCAATGACTTTAACGCACTCGCCGCCGGCAACCTCAGCCTCGTCCGCACGACGCCGACGTTCTTTGGCCTCTCGCAGCCCGACCTGATTGAAGACTTTAACGCGGGGTTGCCGCTCCCAATACTCTACCAGGTCCTCCACGACCGCATTGGCCCTCTCGGGTCCATCGATCTCTACTGGGTCTCCGTCCCAGCGTCGGTAGCCGAAGCGGTCGCAGCGTTCCGCGCAGAGACTGACATGCTACCCATGCCGTCGCTCACACTGCGCCCGACACCGCTGCACTGGCAAGATCCCGCGCTGCGCTTCCATGGCGGCAACCCCATGTGCATGATGGGCAACCCGTTGCCGTACGTACGAGAAGCCTTTGGCTTTGACGATGCTTGCGCGAGCTTAGCACCGGTGACGATCACGCTCGATCCGCTCAACAGCCTTTTTGGACTCTGGATGACGCAGACGCCGGACGCCGCGTGCTCGTCTGTTCTCGATACCACTGACGGTCGTGCCTGCGTAGCATTCCTGCAGTCGCTAGCACCGTCTCTGCGCCGTCTGCCGCCGGTGCACGCCGACCTCGACGCCGTGTTCGCACATCTCAACCTCTCGCTTTTGCAGTATGTTGACTTCAATCACACGATCACCCTTGATCTGCAGCCGCTCTTGGGGCAATCCTGGGCGTTCTTTGGGTGGACCATGGTCTACGACTGGGCCATGCGCCGACGCGAAGTGGTCTCGTTCCAAGGCGACGAGGGCTCCATGCACCTTCTCTCAGCGGAGTATGCGCCCATTCCCAACGCCAACACCATCTCGACACCAACCGCATGGGTGTACTACGTCAGTGTCAGCAACTGGGCCTTTAGCGCCGGTCTCATCGCTGTGTTTTGCCTCTGCTTGCGTTACGATTGCTGTCAGCAATCGTCGGCGACCTGGTGGCGCTTTCCACGGCTGGTGTCGTCCGTGTACCTCAACCGAGGCCTCGTGAGCCTGCGCAGTCTGATTGCGATTGTGTGCTTGGCGACGGCTCCCGTGGTACCCCGCGCTGAAGACGGCGCCACCGCCCTTGTCTTTGAACCGCGCTCGGTGGTGGCCTCGAGCATCTTGGCGATCGAAGCGACGTGGGTGCTCTACTGCGTCTACGACATGCTCCACCCGATCCTCAGTCACCGCACCAACACGCGCGCGGCGTGCAGCGCCGGTGCTGCGGTGCTCACCTTGCTTGCCATTGACCAATTCGCACCCGTCCACGTGTTGACGCAGCTGCGTCGATCCTGCGACTCGGTCAACATGGACACGATGATCTATTGCACCAGCGGCGTCGTGGCCATTGGTGACGCGTCGCGCAGCCTCGTGCTCGGCCTCGTCTTGCTCGCGTCGGTGGTTCTCGGTAGCATGCTTCCGCTGTCGGGGAGGGCCGATGTGCGGTGTATCCCAAACCTCGCCGTTCCGCTAGCGCTGGTCTCCTACCAGGACCCGACGCTGCGCAATAGCACGTTTCTCGATCCTGCGACCGCGGCCATGAGCGGTCTCTTCCGCCTCTCGCCAGCTACCGTCTTTGACATCAAGCTCTGGCGACCACTGCCCCTTGCCGACGACGTGCAAGTCCGAGGGACCCTGTTGCCGCATTGCTCAAGTTTACAGCCTGTCGACTGCTGTATGCAAGAACTCGGTGTGCCCGTCACTTGGCGACGCTGCGAGCGAATTAGTCTGCTTCTCTGTGGCCTCGGCTTTCTGACCACGTCGCTGGTTGGGAACGTCCTCTACTTGCAGCGCGCCGAGATGTACTTGGCCAACGACTATGGCTGGGCTGACTTCAATTCGACGGGCGCCCGCACGTGGCTCGGTAACCTCTTTAACGAAGCGCTGCTCTCCACCAACTCGGCCAGCAACATCCTCGTGGATGGCACCAGCAACGGCACCATTGCGCAGCATTACAATGGGTCGTCGACCGTGCTACTCTGGGCCGACGGCATGGCGCGGCGAGCGCACTACCGGCATGACACTCCTTTAGCGGAGATCATCGTTGGTCTGCGGGCCATGGACCCGTGCGTGCTGCCGTGGATGTTTACACAGTACTGCTACCTTGACTTTGATGGTGCGTGGGAGATGGCGTTAACATCGATGCGCCAAACGCGCTGCTTGCGCCAGCGTTCGAACGGTGCTGTCTTTCTCGAGAGTGCGCTGCGCAACATCAACGACTGGGGCGCTTGGGACCGCTGCTGGGGCAACTCGTTTGAAGTTGCGATTCAGCGGCCGCTTGCGACGACCACGCGCGGCCAGCAATGGCTCCAAGCTCTGAAAACCCGTCGAAACTCGGTGGAACACGAAGTAGCGTCCTGGGCCTCGCACCGTGTGACGCACTTTGTGCTCCAGTGGCAAAACTACAAGACGACAGGTTTGGTCGACTCGCTCACCATCACATCGGCGCTTGGACTTGCGTACGATCTGCGGCTGAGCGAATCCCGTGGCGTCCTTCATCTGGAGCGACAGACGTCTCGAAAGATGTACTGGTCGTTTGCCAGCGACCTCTGGGCCGTGGCGTCCAACGCGACAGCCATTGCAGGCGCCAGTCTGGTTCGCGCGAGCGCCAATTTTGCGTTTCTCAACACCACGAGCGAGGCGCTGCTTTTAGCCAATAGCACACTTCCCACACCGCTACCGAGCGGACTGCAGGTGGTGCGAGACGCCCTCGGCCCGTTCAACGCGATCGATATGCTCTATATACCGTGCCCACCGGCGCTTCAAGCTTTCTACCGGGAAGCCACAGCACATATTACAGCGGTGCTACTGACCAATCTGCGGGCCCAAGCGGCGTTTGCTGCGATTCCGCTCGCCAACCACACGCTACCCGTACCGCAGCGTGTCGAGTCCTTGGACCTCTTGACGTATGGCGGCAACCTTCTCTGCGGCGACGACCTTCCGAATTACCCACTGGCATCCGGGTTCTACTGCTTTTTTGGGTCGCACAACATGTGCCACGCCTACTACAACGAGTACATTCCGCTGACCACGATCGAGTTGCTTCTGTCGCTACTTGCGGCACCAACTCTATTGGCAGTGAATGCAACTGCGCTGTGCCTCAACGATGCGCTGGCATCTTCCACATGCAGTTCGATGTATATTAGCGCCATGGCCTTTCTGCAGGCACATGTCCCCGGCACGGTCGAGGCGAACGACGCCCTCGCTGACGTCCTCGCCTTGGAGTTGAAGCTCATCCAGTTTGTGAGTCCCGCCAACGATTCGTCACAAATCACACTGCTTCGCCTGCCGCTCGCCGAGAATACGTGGCGCATCGACACGTGGCTCTACCTCGTGCAGTGGGCAGCGGGCGCGCGGGACGTTGTCTCGTTTCAAGGCGACGCTGGGGCACTCACGACCATCTCGACGGTCTCGTCGCCGCAGAGCATGACCCCGGATCCGAATGAGATTCCGAATACGATCTCATTTCTCTTCCTCACGGCAGTGCGGTACGTCACTGCGACGCTGATTGCCGTTGCTCTTGTGGCCGCCATCGTTGCTGTGCGCGACAATGCGTACGTCAACGGCCTCAACCTCTTTGAGCTCAATCGAGTCGTGGGGCATGTCTGGATAGGCCGGTCGTGGCTGCTGAGCCGAAGCGTCTCGGCGCTGTGGCTTCTCAACACGAGCACACTTAGCTTGGAGTCGTATGGCGCCGGCACGAAATTCGAGTCGCCGCCGCTGCACTGGGCGACAACCTTCTTGGCCGGCGGCGAAAGCACGTGGTTTGTCTACATCCTCAACGACCTCTGGAGCTGCGTCACGCGGCAGTGGACCGCGTACTACGCATACAAGAGCGCGCTGCTCGCGTGGGCTGCCACGTCACTGTACGTGACGATCGCGCCGGTGCAGTACGTCGCGTCGATTCATCGCTCGTGCAATTATATCGAGATGGACTTGGGCCTGCGCTGCGTGAGCGCGTCCGTGCACATTGGCAGCGCGACCCGCGTCGCCTTCGGCTTTGGTCTTGGCGCGCTCGCGGTCCTTGTATGTTTTGGCGTCGAGCGGTGGCGGCTGCGGCACCTGCCGCCCATGACGCTGTGCACGACCCTTCTGAACGCAACGAGCCTCCATATGCTAATCACGTCCAAGGACCTTCTCGATCGACCGTCTGCAGTCCTCGCCGGGGTCTTTGCACTGCGGAACCGGGACCATCTCTACCTTTTCGACATCAAGAGCTGGCGCTTCCTCGCGTTGCCGGTCGACGCAGCCAGTCGTTCCGCGGGCTGTCTGATTCCGTTAAACCGCGTTTAATGGCTTTGAGATTTGAGTTGGCTTCCAAGCGACGGGATTCCCGCACGTGGCGTACCATGACGTGGCAGTGCCACAGCGCAGGCCGTTTCGCCATACGCAGATTTGCTGCGAGAGCGAACCTGACACCGACGATCGTACTACCTCATCCTATGGGCCCCTTGCGACCTAATTCGACTCCCTCGTTACATTGGACAGCGTTCTCCGATTTGCAGAGATGAGGAAATGGAGCGGTCTCGCGGTCGGATCTCGGCCACTTTCTTTTCTTTGGTTGGGAACCAGCGGAGCCATTTTGATACATCTGATGTGCTCTGTGGCAGTCGACGCCACCTCCCACGTGCCACCCAAGTCGACGTAACTCTCGTGGAAATTTGCATTCGCAATCCTCCGACGCACGACTAAATCGTGCGACTGATCTCCAAGTCGCTCGGTCCTAGTCTACTAAAGTAGCGTCAAGCTATCCCTTTAGCAAGATTCCTCTCCCGTGCAGGAAGCGCACGGTACGAAGCGGCATGCAACCAACATCATACGACACGCCCACAATCCTGTGCAACGAGCAATGCAAAGGTGATGGATAGCAGCCATAGCTCCAGAGTCTGATACAAACGAGGTTGGAGGGTTTTGCTGGTTATTCGACGAGTAAGCTCGCTGCTGGCGCGGGAAGTGTACGTGTTGACGCTCTCTCTAGGCTGTACGCGCTCCACCAAAATGGCATGCCGTGTCTCGCTTCTTGGCCTCGACTTGCTCCTTCACGCGCTGCTCTTGCACGCCTAAGTTTAGCTGACGCCACTGGACCATGTGCGTCGCGACAACTTCGTTTGGCTCCATCCACTGAAGGAGGTCTAGCTGCGTAGGCTTGGCCGCCGAGACCGCAGAAGCCGCTTGGATCAATGCCACGGACGCGCATTTCGAGCTCGTCTTGGTCTCGTCGGCGAGGTACCCATCGCCGACCGTGCGGCACTGGTCGAGATCGTAGTGGAGTAACACGAGCGACCGTGCAAGCACGAAAGCCTCGAGATGTTTCTCCAGTCGCTGTGCGTTGGTCATGTTGCTCAGCGTGAGCGTGTCAGCGACCTTATCGTAGACGATACGAAGTTGCGCAACGCTGCATCGCTGAAGGTCCTCGATCTTGGCCTTGACTTGCGTCTCCGTCATGGTCGAGATGTCACCAGAGACACCGCCCGGTGTAACAACCGGTGAGGAGTAGAACACCCAGCCCCACACCCAGCTCCACACGCCGCCGCTGGACGGCACAGACGGTGCAGCGTAAACCGCCGCGGCCGTCAGCTTTGTGCGTTCGTCCTTCTTCTGGTTCGCAGTGATGGTCTCGACGTATGCTTCCACGTCTCGTCGTGCTAGATTCTCGTGGATCGGTGCCGCACATATTTCGATGGTGGCTATAGGAGTGCTGATCGCCTGCATCTCGATTCGCTTGGTCAGCTCGGCCTTGACAGCTTCATTGTCGTGAAGAAAATTCTGGAACGGGTGCAGTTTCTCGACCACATCAAAGCCTGCGATCTCGCAGAACGTGTCCACGACGACCGCGTTCTGGAGCGCCTCGACCACGCGGTCCGCTGCGTGGATGGCTGCCTCGCCTACTCGGCTCACGAGGATTGCCTCAGCCGTCGCTTCGGCCGCAGGAGCGAGCCACATGTCCGCGGCCAAGTCGCTTCCTGGCACAACGAGACCCACGATGCTGCCGGTACACGTCAGCACCGCACCGAAGAAGATCCGCCCGTACGCCGTATCGAGCGACTCAAGTCCGCGGCGGCGAACTTCGGCGGAACATTCTGCGAGCTGAGTGTTGATGTTGCTGCTGTAGTTCACTTGGTGGACGAAAAACGGGATGTACACGGCTGCCGAGGCCCCGGCCGTCGTGATGCCCGTGACTGTGGCGACACCCGCGGTCATGGAGGAGCGCGTCATGGCGCGACAAGACTCGGTGTAGAGGTCTTGCTCAGCCTTGAGAAGCTGCGCGTTGGCCATTGCATTGAACGGCGCAGGGAAGTCCATCGCTACTGTGTGGACTGGAACTGGTTTTTTCGGTACAAAGCGATTGGCGAATGGTCTGAACTCCCCAGTTGAGTCAGCCGTCCCTCGTGACCAAGGGATATATCCCGTGCTCAGCAAAGCTGTGCTGCAAAGGCTCTGATCACACTACGTACATGGCTCGTTGCACAGGATTGTGGGCGTATGCTGTTGGTTGCAGCATGACCCTTTTGCCGTGCTCTTCCTGCGCGGGAGAGGAATCTTGCTGAAGTTACAACGCGATGCTATCTCTATAGGCGAAGACCGACTACTGGACCGACTAGGAGCTGTCAAGTCGCACGATTTAGTCGGGCGTCGTAGTGCGTCGTAGTGCGTCGGGTTGCGCGCGCCAAATTTCATGTCGGAACAATCCAGCCGAAAATCTTCCGGCGACGGTTTTGATTGGCTGAAATGCCGTCGTTCTCTGGGTGACTGCGGGGCATTTCCGATTTTCCGCTTTTGCAGCATGTCCCGCTTCCTGACCGAGCCCAAGACGGCCAAGACGACGTCGAGCCACGACGCGCCCGAGGTGCGCCTCGCCATCGGCAGCAGCAGCATGCAAGGCTGGCGCGACACGATGGAGGACGCCGAGCTCGTCGAGACCAAGCTGCCCTCGAAGGAGAAGGTGGCGTGCTTGGCTATCTTTGACGGCCATGGCGGCGACGCGGTCGCCAAGGACGTGTACGCCCATCTTTGCCTTGCGCCATGACGCTCATGTGCAATGCTTAGGTCGGCCCATATTACACCGCTGCTCCTCGAGACGGACGGCTTCAAGAAGTTTGACGGGGTACGTTGCATGCCAAGTAGTAGGCCATTGGATACTCATAATCGCGTGCGTACAATTGCAGAAGGATCCAACGCTGCTTGTCTCGGCGCTGCGCGACTGCTTCCTCACGATGGATGACAAGCTGCGCGAGACGGTCGGCGCCGACGGCCGCGCCGATGAGATTGGCTCGACCGGCCTCATGGTGCTCATCACGGAGCAGTTCATCATCTCGGCCAACGTCGGCGACTCGCGCTGCATTTTGAGCCAATCCAACTCGCAAAAGCCGATTCAGATGTCGCTCGACCACAAGCCGGACCTCGAGGCTGAGAAGAACCGCATTGTTGCCGCGGGCGGAACCGTCTTCCGCGGCCGCGTCTCGGGCGGCGTCGCTGTCTCGCGCAGCTTTGGCGACTTTTGGTTCAAGCGCAACGAAGAGAACAACCCGAACAAGAAGCCGTGGGACCACCTCGTGATCGCCGAGCCGTGCGTCAACGTGACCAAGCGCGATTCGCACGACGAGTTCCTCGTGCTCTGCTGCGACGGTATCTACGATGTCATGTCCAACGAGCAGGTCCAGCGCTTTGTCCGCGACCGCCTCAAGGAAGGCAAGAAGCCCGAGATCGTTGCCGAGCTCCTCACAGACGAATGCTTGAACAAGGGCAGTCGCGACAACATGAGCGTCATCATCGGCGTCTTCCATTAAGCGTCGTCCTCCTTGTCTGGCTCGTCCTTATATAACCTATTGAATGCTTGCTTCCTTTGGCTCCCTGCCTGTTGGCTCGCATGGAGGCTATGGCTCGTGCATAGACGTCGCCTTGGTATGTGCCAGGGACAAGAGGTTGGTAGAGGCTTGGTGGCCTGGCGCAAGTACGGTAGACATGTCATCTCATGCCATCCCGCCGCCATCATGAAGCGCCCGCATGGAGAGGCTGGAGCGTCGGCTCCATGCAGCAGCGTCGACCATGGTCGCACGGTTGTCACGACGCAGACAGCCCATTTCCGCCTAAATGGCGTTCGTTTAGCCTCGCCTTGCGTTCTTGAATTAAAATAACGTGGTGTTTGTATGGAGAAGCGTTTTTATTTCAAAGGAAGAGCCAGCGCGATGCCACTTCACAATCCGCCATGTCCCGCTTCCTCTCGGAGCCGTCGACGGCCAAGGCGTCGCATGCGACGACCGCGCCCAAGCTCAACCTCTCGATCGGCTACAGCAGCATGCAGGGCTGGCGAGACTCGATGGAGGACGCGGACCTCGTCGAGGTCGAGATCCCTGGCAGCGTCAATGGCGCGTGCTTTGCCATTTTTGACGGCCATGGCGGCGACCTCGTGGCCAAGATCGTGTACGTCGATGACGATGATGCATGCGATGGCAGCTTATCTGCATGGCTAGGGCCAAGGACATTCTCCAGAACATTGCGGCCACGGACGAGTACAAGCAGTTCGATGGCGTACGTCGTGTCGCCATACCGCCATCTTCCTGCGACTGAGAACATGGTAGACGGAGCCGCGCAAGATGGTCACGGCGCTCTCCAAGGGCTTCCTCAACACGGACGAGATGCTGCGCACGAACGAGCTCACGGCGACGACGTCGGACGAGGTCGGCGCCACCGGCCTCCTCATCATGGTCACGGAGAAGCACATCTTCTCGGCTAACATTGGTATGCTTTACTCGATGCATGCAGGATGGCTCAGGGACATGATGGGCAGGCGACTCGCGCTGCATTCTGAGCAAGAGCCAGAACCAGACGCCGATCCAGATGTCGCTCGACCACAAGCCCGACCACGAGACCGAGAAGCTCCGCATCGTTGCGGCCGGTGGGACCGTCTTCCGGGGTCGCGTCTGCGGCGGTGTCGCCGTCTCGCGCAGCTTTGGCGACTTTTGGTTCAAGCGCAACGAAGAAGGCAAGCCCGAGAAGAAGCCGTGGGAGCACCTCGTGATCGCCGAGCCGTGCGTCAACGTGCAGCCGCGCGACCACGTCAAGGACGAGTTCCTCGTGCTCTGCTGCGACGGTATCTACGACGTCATGTCCAACGAACAAGTCCAGCGCTTTGTCCGCGACCGCCTCAAGTCGGGCAAGTCGCCCAAGGACGTCGCCGAGCTCCTCATGGACGAGTGCTTGAACAAGGGCAGTCGCGACAACATGAGCGTCATCATCGTGCTCTTCAACGCCAAGAAGAAGTAGACCACCTTGTCGCTACTAGGGTCGTTGCCCAACGCGGCGGACCCTAACCCAACGCGTGTATATATCTACGTTCTTTCGATGTGCTCGTCCCGTCTGCAGGTCCAACGCCTTGCTGCACGAGAGCGTCCGACCAGACCAGATTCGACCAGAACGATACCAGATATGCGATTCACTGACGCGATGCCTACATCTGGTCGTCGTCGTCGTCCGAGTCACGGTCGTTGTCGTCATAAAGGCGCTCGATCGCGGCCTTGATCAAGTGGTTGTCCTTGGGGTGGAAGAAGAGCGCGTTGTTGTAGTGTCGCATGGCTTCGTCGACTTGACCCTACGCCACGCAGACTCGATCGCCGTCCTTATACAGACGACGACGTACGAGCTTCTTGGCGACGCGGCCGAGGAGGAAGTGGACCGACGACTCTTTGGGCGCCGCATCCCGGACGATGTAGAGCTCGTCGAGGGCGGCTTTGTAGCGGTGGGTCGCCAGAAGCACCTTGGCCTTGTGGAAGCGCGCGGTCGAGTTGAGCGGCTGAAGGTGCTGCGCAATGTCAAGAGCCGCAATGGCTTCGTCGTGGCGCTGCACTGCATGGAGCACCTAGGACGAAAAGTATCAGTCTATCAAGATCGACAACGAGCGCGTGTGACCATGCCGAGGTTGCAGTGCAAAATCGAGCTCTGCGGGTTGATGCTCAGCGCCCGTCGAAAATGATACTCGGCGAGCTCGAGCTTTTCTTGGCGCAGGTAGATGGCGCCGAGGCCATACCACGCATTGTAGTGGCGTCCGTCGACGCGCAGCGCGTGGCGGTAGCACCCAATGGCCTAATGTAGCCTCAACACTGGGCGAAGCGTCCAAAACTACCTTTTCAAAGTCTTCGTTGGCCGCGTACTCGTGGCCGCACAGCGTGTGCGCGTACGTAAAGTACGGGTTGAGCTGCAGCGCCTAAATCAATGTATCAATATGTCAAGTCCACGGGCTAGTCGAGGCGAGTACACGCTGAAAGAACGTGAGCGCCATGTCGTGCTCCTTCTGGAGGCTAAAGCAATTGCCCGCGACAAACCATGCGTCGCTCGACCGTTTGTCAAACTCGGTGAGCTGCTGCGCGAGGTATGAGAGCCCGACCTCGTGCTTGAGGTGGTAGAGGATCGTCGAGTAGATGGCCATGCCCTCCATGCGGTGGGGGTCGGCCTCTCGGATGCCCTCGTAGATGCGTGCGGCCTTCATTCCGCATGTTGTTGCTGTCGTCAAGACCAGGTGGGCGTACCTTGGGGTAGTTGGCCTGCTCGAAATAGGCCCGCGCGAGCTGCTGCTGCGCCCACGCCGACGTCAGCTGACTCCGAGGCAGTGCCATCAAGCACTGGATCGCCGTGTCACACTCAAACTAGACCGAGGTATGACGGGTAGAGCAAGAAGGAGGGGTGTACGAGGCATAGCGCGCGGTAGGCGGCGCCGCAGTCGTGGAGCAGTTGCAGCGCGGGCTAAAGAATCCCGCCGGCGTGAGGAAGAGAGAATGAAGAGGACGGCGCGTACCGCATCGCCCGAGGCGTGTGCAGGAGAAGGCTACGTGAGAGGTTGATATTCGAATGCGACAAGATGAAGGCGCCTACGGTATCGCCGCCCGAAGTCGTCGTCGATGGAGCTGGGATGCGCAGTTTTGTCTACTTCACAGGAATGAGCACTGTGGGAAGCGTAGAACGCTATATCGCACGGGTCGATCCTTCTCGGTGAACGTGCGGCTCATGGCCTTCTTTCCTTGCAGCGGTGCAACTACCTTGCGTGGTCGCTGGGCGGTCGTGTCCGTTGCAGGAGGTGGCCGCGTAGACACCGCCGGTCGACTGGACACAGGTCGAGCACCGCTAGCACGCACTGTCTTCTTTCCCTTGAACGTTGGCAGTAGTGCAGGGTGGAGAAACGTTGACGTTGGCGCGTCACAGCCGAGCTCACAGAGGCCTTCGTACGCCGACCACATGAACGGGTCTTGCTTCAAGCTACACATGACCAGGCATTGCCTTCGCCAAGTTGAGAATGAAGCATTGTACCTTGCCTTGAAGTATTCGATCGCGTGCTCCGTGCGATTCACTCGTCGGCAAATGCTGCCCATGAGGAAGAGGCCGGCGGCGCCGTTCGGGATCGGCTCGAGCGCGGGCATGCCTGGAGGACTGCGAGAGCTCTTGGGCGGAAGAAGCGCTGTCTCGGCCTCGGACAATCGCCCCGCTTCGTAGCAGCAGAGCGCCAGCATGTACCTGTTCTGCGGCGACCGTGGTCCGCCATGCTCGGTCGGTCGCTGGAGCAGCGCGATGGCGCGATGGCCGTCGCCGGACCGGTAGTAGGCTTCGGCGAGGAGCGCGACGTTGGCTTCATTCGCATGCTCGGCGACGAGCCGCTCGGCGAGGAAGATGGCGCTGGAGAAGACACCATCGGCAAGGAACCGCTGCACAGCGCTCGTCAAGCACGATTCCATGGTTCAGTACTTGCGTTGGATTGGTTCTTTTCGAGAGGAATTTAGCCAGTCATCACTCGAATAAAAAGATTCCGGTATGTCTTCCAGCTAATCGCACGCAACCAACGTACCATCAAGCAAATATAGCTCTTGCCGAGCCGATCCAGACCATGCGTGCAACGAGCGCAGTCGCCACAATACAAGTGCACGTCCTTTTGTGCTTTCTATGCTACAATAACTCGACAAGCGTCTGCTATCACTGCCACCTGCGGTCCCGTAAATTGCGTACAAATAGCCTTCCTTATCACTGTTCGTTTGGCTTGGCAAAAATGAGCCCCGAGACGCCGCCCCGCCGGACAGCCCGACCGTCGTCGCCACGTACGTCTTGGCTCTTCCTACCGCTGATGCCTGATGCTGCCCCGCAGTAGAAGCCGAGGTCGCGCAGCTCGCACGCCAGACGCCGACCAAAGTCCTCGCCGACGACATGAACCAAAGTACTTGGACTCTCATCTCCTTCGGCGCCGCCTCATGCTGATCGCGATAGCGCTGCTCGCCGACGTGCTCGCATCGCTCCGGCAGCAAGGCGCTGCGATGCAAAAGGAGAGCACGTGGGTGGTCCAGGCCAAGCCGTTGCACCTCTGACCACGCAAGGTAGGGAGTATATTAGTCGTCCAACCTACTAACTAGGTATAACTCAACATCGAGTTTAAAATGTGGTGCACGAGCGTAAACTGCGAGTCGCGGGCCGTCTCGGGCACGTGGCTGAGCGCAGCCTTGAGCTCCTGGAGCACGTTCTGGACAAACGGCGCGATCGCCGCGTCCCGCGGGTTCATCACGAGGAGCGAGTCCTGCACCCACTTGAGGCTCAAGCCCAAGTCGCGCTCGAGGTCCGACCCGAGCTGCTGCACGAGGCAGAGCACAATCATCTGCGAGAGCACGGGCGGGCGGACGCCAAGAACCACGCCCGTCTCGACGTTGGCGCACGTGTAGAAGACGAGCGCCACGTCTTCGGCGCCGAGCGCGGTTTGAAATGCCACCTCGTACTTCTTGGCAGCCAAGAGACCGTCAATGTCGCGGCACTGCGTATCAAAGAGCGACGCTTTGGGCGGCGGCAGCGGCGCGGCCGCGCTGCCTTGGAGCGTATCGAGGCGCTCGGTGAGGGTTTCGACCGCGTCTTGCATCGTCGTCAGCTGCGCCGAGAGCGCGCTCCACTGCTCGTTGGTCTCTGCGATCTTGACGTGCGTGCCCTCGACAAACGTGGTGTTGATCTGCTCAAACATCTTTTGCGTCGCGGCTTGGAACGACGGAATGATCGTCGACTGGAACGCGTCCCGGAACGCGTCGCGCACCGGCGTCTTGACGTCGTCGACCAGGTGCGTCAGCGACGCGGCCATGCGTGCGTCCAGGTCCTTGCACTGCGCCTCGAGCTGCGCCGTGACGGGCTTGACAAAGTTGTTGTCCATCGTGTGCAGCACAATGCGCCCGATGGCTGGGACAAGCACGGACTGGAGGTGCTTCCGGACCACCTTGTCCATGTGCAAGCTCAGTTGCTGCTGCATGATGCGCACTTGGTCCTTCAAATGCTCGTCGCGCTCGCGCTGCAGCGCCTCCATGCGGCGGAAGAAGTGCGACAGCTCCGACGACGCGCTGTCGTCATCAAAGCGCGCCGGCACCGGCCGCGGCGACGACACGTCGTCCGTAAACGCATGCACCGACGACGATGGCGACGACCGCGCGTAGCGCAAATGCGCGTCCGACGGCGGCGGCATCGGTAGCGACGACACCGACCGCGGCGACCCGGGCACGCGCGACGGCGCTGACGTTGGGGCGAGGCTGTCGACTTCGCTCTCGTCGTCGTCGTCCTCGTCCTCGTCGTCGTCGTCACTGCGGCGACCGACCGAGTCGTTGCCGCCGTCGGTCGCGAGCATTGAGCTCAAGCCCGCCTCGCTGCCGTTAAAGTCGTGCACAGTGATCTGCAGATCGAGCTCCGTCTCGGGCGACGCATCGTTCGACGCCTCAACGATCGCAGGCGGCGCCGCCTTGGGCTCCTCGTGGAACGACCGCACGGGGCTGCGCGGCGGTACGTAGCAGGCCGACGGCGCCACATGGTAGCGCTGGATGGCCTGCGTCTGGATGCAGTAGAGCTGCATCGGAGACTCGTCCGCGACGCCCGTGCTCGACGCCGGGTGCAGCACCGTCATCGACAGAATCGGGTACGCCAGCGAAAACTCCGTCACATTGTCGAGGCGGCGCGGAAGCCGCGGGCTCGGGCTGCTCGCCAAGTGCAAGACAATGAGCGAGGCAGCCGCGCGGTCGGCCACGTACACATACTCGTGCGTCGGGTCCAGCACCAGCTCGTGCATGCTCGACGCATTGTGGAGGCGGAAGCTCTGCGTGCACGTGTCGACCTCCGCGTCCCACGGCGCATTCCAGAGTGACAGCTGCGTGTTGCCTTGGCCGCCGACGAGCAAGCCCGAGGCTGCGCCACCGTACTGGGCCGCAAAGACGTTGAGGCTGTTGACGGGCGCGCCATCAAAGGGGTCAAAGCGGCGCAAGTAGCTCGCAGCTGCGCCGACCACAATGCCGCCGAGGTGGTAGACGTGGACGGCGCCGTCCATGCCGGCGGTCACGAGATGGTGGCCGTCGGCCGAGAACGCCACGTCGTTGACGTGCGCCTGGCTACGGTCGCAGATGACACTGTGCTCGGTGAGCGCAAAGGCGTCGGCGGGGTCGGCTGTCACATTGTCGAGGTTCGTGACGTAGACGGTGGCGTCCTGGACGATTGCAATCTTGTTCGAGTCGAGCGGGTGCCACTTGACGCGCTGCGCCCGGCACGGCAGCGTCTTGAGCACCTCGCGCGTCATGGGCTTTTGCGCGTACATGTCTTCCGAGAGGCGCCAGATCACAATGTGGTTGTCCGTACCGGCCGAGAGGAGGAGGTCGGTATGGTCGTTGAAGAACGCGAGCTCCGTCACTGCATGCTGCTCGTGCTTGCGGAGGAGAATGCGGTTCACGCTCGACTGGTTGATGACGCGGATGAGGCCGTTCCGGATCGGGTACGAGATGTAGTGCTCGTTCACCGAGATGAGCGTGCCAAGATCCGACGCTCGCTCCGAGACGTAGAGCGTGATCGGTGTCACTTCCAACGACCGCGCGTCTGCGTCCTTCTTCGGCTCGTAGACGCACTGTTGGCCAAGAAGACGCGTGCCAGGCGACAAGGTACCAGGCGACGAGATCGACGCCGAGCGCACGGTTGCCGTCGGCGGAGGCACACGCGTCGTGACCGAGCCGCCACTGGCACTCGAAGGACGCATGAGCGCCGGAATCGGCAGTGCAGATGGCTGCGGGTGGTTGTGGTGTCCCGGCGTCGTGAGCTCCGGATCAAAGTGCGAACGGTGGCTCGGGCTCGGGCTCGTACTTGGCTGCGGCGGCGGCGGCATTGACGCAGGCGACGGCGACCGACCTTGCATGTTCAGGTTGGGGAATAGCTGGCTAAGCATGTGCGAGCCCGACATCGGCGGTTGCATCGGCGGGTGCATGAGCTGCTGCGGGGGCGGCGGCATGTGCGGCGGCATGGGCATGCCCCCAGGAAGCATGTGGTGGGCCATCGGCGGGTACGGGCTAAGGTGCGGGTAATTGGGCATCGGCGGGCCCATGTTCGGCCCGCTCGGAGGCGCGGGGGAGTTGGACCGGCGCGGCTCCATGCTTCCTCTCTTCCTGTGGTGGTCAAAGGAAAGACTTTTGTTGTTCCATCCCCACAGTTGCCGAACCGCGGTTTTAACCGGACCGAGCCGGTTGGCATTCCGCACAGTGATTGGCCAAAAAGGGACGCACCGTCAAAAAAGTATCCAATGCCATTGGTCAACTTGAATGCTACGCACCTTGCCACCTTGCACACACAGAAGCGTCGACCTGCGTCGTCATGAGCTAGTACTAGTACGCGCGGCCCTTGTCTCGATACTACTCACTCGTGCATCTACTGTGGTGGACAGTGCTGGGGTGAAGCCACCACTACCAGCATCAATATGCCAGTCGTCCTCGTGCACACCATGACGTGGCAGCCTCAGTGAAGCGTCGGTTGTTGTCAAGAATTTGCAGCCGCGTGCGCCGACAACCGATACAGTACAGCTACCAGCGGTACCAGCAGTGTCGACACCACCGAGGTCGTTGACATCGCGCCGGAGACAGCACGCATCGCACGCAGTAGCTTTGCACGCGATGAGGTACGACGGCGATGAGCAGGCCTCTGCTATCTTGGATTTTTTCCAATTTTTTCCAATTTATTCCAAGTTCTAGCCCAAATGAGTATCCAAGAAAAATTAAGCTTGCTTTTTGTATGCCAAACGAGTGGTTGGTTGGATTTCCACACAAAGCAGGGAGGCCATTTTGCGCTTGTGATGGCACGTGGGACCGCAGCGAAGACCAAGAGCTCAGCAAAGTCGGGCCGCGCCAAGGTGCCCAAGCCAGCCACGCTGACGCAGACTACCCTACATGCTACGGTGTCTACGACAGTGCAGGCTGTCGTGGTGTCTGTCGAGGCAGCGGTCGCATGAACGCGTACATGGCGTACCGCGACGCCGCTGCCACCGACAAGCACGACCTCGAGCTCGCTGTATCGACAGCTATCGAGCTCTTCGTCGTCGGTCTCGACAAGCTCTGCGCCAAGAAGCTTGACGTGCCGCCTGATTTACAAGCTCCGCACGAGTTGGCGACTACGGAGCTCGGCCCGTTCATGGACGTTCTTGAGCGCCATCGCGGTCTCATTTGCGGCTTTGCGATGCAGAAGGCCATCGCCTCCGAACGAGAGGCGCTGGAAGATTCGTACCAGAAGAACGAGGCAGTGCGCTCAAGCATCGACAGCTCGCAGGACGAGCCCTTCGAGAAGGTGTGGAAGAACTACTCGACAGTGTATCCGAACCTCTCGATGTTTGCTGCGGGGCTTGCGACCGTACTTCCGTCCACCCACACGGTAGAAGCCGACTTCTCCATGGTCAAGAACACTAGAAGCGACTCGCGTCGCTCGCTCTCCAACTACGCAATGGAAGGCCAGATGCAGTCCAAGCAATACAAGGAGCTGGAGGCAGCCGTCACCTCGATTCAACGCGCCACGCACCAAATCGCACCGCGTAATGCGACGGCATTTTCATTGATTGCGTAATCATTTCTCCAATATATCTTGAAGTTTGTATGCTTTTTGGCTCCAAGGAGGATCCAAGGCGGAGCCCAAATGAGGCACGAAAAAGCTTAACATTGGATAACGCTGAAAAATCCAAGATTGCAGAGGCCTGGCGATGAGTCATGGCGCCAGCGACGAGGTCCGTCACCCTGAAGGGGTTATTCCCTTGGTCTATCTGCACCATTGGCGATCAACACAGGTCACGACTACTTGTCGATTAGCCAACATGCGAACAGGCGTGAAGCTCGAGCAATGGGTCTCGTTCGATCTCGTCCAGATCCAAAGAAGTAGAAAGCTTGACGGGTGAAGTGGAACGTCCGAGATTGGGTAACAGGGCAGACATGGGAAGGGTCCGTTTCGCCGGCACATCGACCGAACGCAAATTGTTGGAAGCCACCGGCGCGTTGGTCGACGCATATTCCTCGAATGACCCGATTCCCGCGTTGCGCTGGGTGCTCCTCCCACGCAGCACCTACGACACGTTCGCGCTCGTCAACACCGAGCGCGCCGTGTACCGTAGAGGCACGCTGCCACTACAAGCTCGGTGCGAGGCGCCAAGCTACTTGTCCTATTGGCGGGCGAGCGATCCGCGCAGGTTTCTGAGTTTTTGTAATGTGTCCGAAGGGAACGCGCTTCGTGAGTCACATTGCATGCAAGACGAGGCGGAATCCCCGCGTATTCGTCGAATTTGTCGGTAGCGAGCTACGAATACTGTGCAAAATCGAGTCGGTAGACCAAGCTTAGAGAGCACTTGTGGTCTGGATGATCGCTGCGCGTCAGAAGCGCATGGCGCTTCGTTTGGTTCGGACCAAGATCGGCGACGCTCCACGTGGTGCCCCCGAACCTTCCAGCATGCGACATGTCCCTATTTTATTCAAATAGAAAAATACAATTCTTGCATACACTGCAAATAGGTAGCCGTCATGCTCGATCGCAGCAGTCATGCCCCCAAGACCACCAGTCGCGCGAACCACAACCAGCGCCAGTCTCTCGAGCAATGGAGATCGCTGTTTCCGAAATTGTACATCCCAAAAGTGCGCCTCCTAGACACTAGTTCTAGCGATCGTCCCCGAGTCAGATACGGGACGGCGAACGGGGGACACGGTTTCGAACTGACATGTTGTCACCGACTGGAATCTGGATCTCGCTGAATCTTCGTACACGTCGCTATTACTAGTTGCGAACCAGACTATTTGCTCGCGACGAAGAGGGCGCCACTCGCCCTGCAGAACGACGCCAAGCCGAAACATCCCAGCAAACCACGCATCGTTGAAGTGACCGGCGCGCTTTGTACTGTGCAAACAGCCATCGTCCTCACGCCGGCCATATGATTGGCTGAAACGGCACCGGATGCCGCGATGCCATTGGTCCGTTGCGAGGCTTGAAAAAAGTGGCGACCAAATCACTTTGTATTTTATTGCGCAATGATGTCGTACCGGCCCCGCGACGATGGCCGTGACATGGAGCTGCCGCTGCGCAAGACCCGGCGACCGTCCCGCGCGGTGGGCCTCGCCTCCTACGGCCGCTTCGTAGCCCTCGGCCTTGGCATCCTCCTCCTCTGCACCTGGGGCCTCTACTACCAGGTGCAGTACCTTGTCGCCACCCAGTCGCCGGCCCTCCACACATCGACGCTCGAGCAGATCAAGTACGTTGAGCGCAGCGTGCGCGAGGTCGTCTGGGAAGGCCGCGAAGATATCGACGCAGACGAGTTTGTGATGGCCGACGTGCCGGCGGCCAATCCCGACGTGCTCTTGGTCCAACAACCACATACGGTGGACCCGATCGTCAACTACCAGTGCCGGGGCTGGCGGCAAACGGGCGGGTGCTCGCCGACGGGTGCGCGCGAAGCGCAGAACGACCGAAAGTGCCACGAAGCCATCAAGGGCGGCAGCTCGGGCTACTGCGAGTTTTACGACCCGGCGACCAACCGTACGCTGCACCTCCTCGAAAGCACGTGCACGACGGTCCGTGGCGACGCGCGCTTCTCGTGCAACATGGCCAAGGACATCCTCATGTTCCACAAGCACGCCGACAACTACCGCCACCCGTACCTGGTACTACTCTCTCTCAAACTCGCGCCCATCTCTGACGCTTTATGTAGCTGGACGGACCCAAGGATGCCATGAAGTACCTCAACCACTCGGAATACGCGGGCCCGATATCGGTCGACGACGATGACGTCGATGCGTCGACGGTGACGCGCAAGTGGTACGACAAGCACCCGACGGTGCAAAAGGTGTACCCCACCAACGGCATCGTCATGGTCGTGTACGAGAAGGCGCTCGTGTCGCTCTATGCATCCGTGCGGCTGTTGCGCACGGTACACAACTCGAGCTTGCCGATCGAGCTGTGGTACCGGGCCGACGAACTCTCGGTCGACCACCCGGTGCTCGCCAACCTCTTGGGCACCTTCCGTGACATTCGACTCCGCGAGATCCGCGACCCGCGCGCCACTGGCTTTTACGTCAAGCCGTACACGCTCTTCTTTTCGCACTTTGAAAACGTCTTGTTCCTTGACGCCGACAACTTTCCCTTGCGCGACCCGACGTACCTCTTCCACTTGCCCGAGTTCACGTCCACGGGCGCGATCTTCTGGCCCGACTTTTGGCACCCGCGCAACACGATCTTCAACCTCCACGACGACTCGTTGGTGTGGCCGATGCTCAACCTTACGTACGTCGACATGATGGAGCAAGAGTCGGGTCAGCTCCTCCTCTCGCGGTCGCGCCACGAGAAGGCGCTGCACATGCTCATGTTTTACGCGTTCCACCGCATTGCGCCGCAGCCGCAACCCGACACGTTTCCGACGCAGCCCTTGCCGACGACGTCGGTCGAAGAGAGCGAGTTTGAAGACTATGTCGACCCAGAGATCGATCCGCTGCATACGATCCCCAACATGATCCAGGGCCTCAAGCTCGCGTGGGGCGACAAGGACCTCTTCCGCTTTGCGTGGCTGAAGACGAACGCGTCGTTCCACATGATTGCGACACCGCCGGGTGCGGTCGGGCTCTGGGGCTGGATCAAGTACATGCGCCCGGACGCGACGCCGTTCCAGCGCTTTTGCGGCCAGAGCATGCTGCAGTACGACACGACGGGCGAGAAGCTCTTTCTGCACCGGAATACCATCAAGCTCGGGGTGACCAAAGCGTCGCGGTCGCCGCAGTGGCAGTACATCCAGACGCTCCGACCGGGCGTGAGCATCGCCAACTACACGGTCAACTGCTGGGTCGAGAATACGTACTCGTGCTTTGGCCGCACCGAAGGCACGAACGAACACTTTACGGGCGAGCTCGCGGACGACACGGTGGTGTCCCTGGAGAAGTCGATCCTTGCGTTTGCCGAGAGTGGCGCCGCGCTCGTGCCGGCGACGCCCGCGCCGACGATCGCGTCCTTGGATGCGTCGGATGAGAATGACAAGATGATCCCCGGCATGCAACACGGCCGGCGCTACCAGGCCTAATGAACGGGCAGCGTAGACGCTTAACTTAAAAAACACTATAGTCTTTTCTACGATAGCTCAGCTGTCGAGTGTGTCGAGACTCAATGCAAAACTGACATTTTGCTTTCGGTGTCGTGAGGCATGCAATGTCCGCAACGGCTCACTGCAGTTTACGAGACATGATGAACGAGACTCATTTTAGAGACAACTTTCCTGGTAAACTTTTTGAGAGAGGGCGTTGCTCGGCGCCGTATACGCGCGGATGCCACGACTTCTCGCAGCGAAATCACATTGCATTACGACAAGTGCGACGCAGGAAAGAAGCAACGAGTAGTACGTTTGATTGATTGAGTGTTATGGGGCTACATCTTGCGCCGATCACGCTGGTGATGTAGCTAAAGGGTTGGCGCCTAAAATATGAATGAAAACTGTGTAAAAGACAAGAGGGTTTGCATACCGCCGTTGGTGGACCCGTCATGGCCGTCCATCCCGTCGAGAACGCCGCACAGCGTCGCGTCGAGGTCGGCGACTTGCGTAAGCGGTGCCGTCGAGCGTCTCAGGTGCACAATTTTCGTCGGCGCTCGGAGCAGCGACTTGATCTGGTGTCGAGCCAGCTAGCTCGGGCTCGCAGCCGCGATCGGAGTCGACGTGCCGGCGGGAAGCTGCGGAAGGGGCAGTGGCGGTGACGTTGAACGCGACCGCTGTGTTGACTTGGCCGGACTCTTTCGCTGATGAGGGGCATGGGCGCTGTTGAAGCAAGGGCATGTCGCTCTCTTGCACGCAAAGTTCATTTGCTCCAGTTGAGCGTAGCGGGCCAACACCGTTTGGTGCAGGGTACGCGCGCTTGCATCCGGCTCGCTGTCCGCGGTCGTCGCCGGCGAGGCCTGCCTTGGCCTTGACCATTGTTGCCATCATGATGCACACGACCGCAGTTGCAGTGAGCTACAGCGCGACGCGCTGCCGTGGTCTTGACCACTCGTCGTGTTCGTCCTTGAGGCGCCCTGCGCCGTCGTCCTGCGCCGCCATGCTGCTAGAGAGCGGCCATCGCGGCGCCTGCCGAGTTGCTGCGTCTGTTGTGCGGTCCAAGCGGGCAAAGCACATTTGACGACCATGCCGATGAAGTGAAATTATTTGGAACTAAAAACTGGCCCATTCACATGCCACTCCAACTAATTTTCCGCGCGCAAGTAGAAAGTATACGAACGGCTCATTGTATTGTGGTGCAAAGTCGCCGCAGAATTGTGCTGGACTTTAATAAATCCCCTCCGAGATCGCCAAGTCAGTCGGATCGACCAATCACATGTCGCCGTGAAAGGGAATGACGGTCTTCAGGCTCACCACATTTTCTCGCAGGTCACTTCGATAGGTCCTCACTTCGATGGCTGTCCATGGTATACATACAAGCTTATATAGAAGCCAGCGTCGTTGCTTCTCGACCAAGAGGGCTCCAAATACGTATAATAGCATCACTGGTGTTTGGACGAGCAGTATAAGTAACACCGAATGGGCACTTGGGTTGACATGGAGAGGATTAGAGACAGAGGACGCCACCGGGCACTCTGAGTAGTGACACCTGGCTTGCTCAACGCGCGTCTTCGTCACGACTGCCCGGACGTCGGTTTGGCCCTCCATCGCTACGCGACCCCGTATTCAACCACGTCCCAAGCAAGGCGATAGAGATCATACTATAGTACCGGTGTCTCGTCATGAAGGACAAGCCGCATCGGCTTTGCGGCAATATGGCTATTCGTTCTTTCTGCTGACGACTGGGTAAAACTGATGTCTATCGCAGTTGATTGGCTATCCAACTTGAAGTATATATTGTTTTTAAATTTATTCCATTAAAAAACCGTTTCGAATCCATACCTGTATTTGTGTATTCAAAATGAGTCCAATTTAAGTTTCATAAAAATAATACCTTTCAATATAGGAATATATCGGGTGGCTGTGGGCGCAGGGCCATGCTCACGATCTTGAGGCCCTTGGAGGCGACCTGCTTGTCTCCCGTCGCATAGTATGGAAGGAAACAACATGCTCTGTTTAAGGCTTATGGCGTCGCATGCCAGCTACACACGAGACAGAGAACATGGGCGTGCTCTGGGATCTCGTAACGTAAGGCCTGGACAAGCAGGCGAGCGTCGAGGGTCTCGACTCGGAGCGCAACAAGCCAAGTGATTGCGTGGTCAATGGCTCGGTGAGCACACTCGATCACTGGTCGTTGCGTCACCGTGAATGGAGCCTGGAAGCCATTCGGCTCAAGTCCGCGGAGCTTTTCGATCGCAGCCATCGCCGCAGTCGTGTCGGCCGGAACATACCCGAGGAAGCCGATCACATCGCCCAGGACGGTGCCAAACTGCGTTCGTGGAGTCGTGCGCATCTTGCTACTCAATGCCACACATGCGTGACAGGTCCCGCGCAAAAGCAAACGTACCATGGCTCTTCTTCGTTCGTTCGCGACTGCTTGCGCTTGCCACTGCGAAGCGGTTCGTCTTGAGCCTTCCGTGCAAGCGTCTTGGTCGAGCCCCCCATCGATCGGATTATTCAAGGAGCTTTGGTAGCAAAGAGG